AAATATCTCCCATAAGGTGCAATATGTCGAGGGTTAGTAAGTCGGAAAAAATTATTGTAGAGTATGTCGGAAATTTTAAAAGAAAACCGTCATAATAGTATGTTGAAAAAGTTGCATTGGATAATATGTTGAGAAAATGATATAGTATATTAAATGAAAAAATATAAGACGTTGTACGTAGAATGTCCCATATAGTCTAGCGGTTAGGATTCCTGGTTTTCACCCAGGCAGTCGGGTTATATGTGGGAAAAAGTCATATAGAAAAAACATGTATGGAATAGTTTGTGGAAGATTTAATCAAAAATGTCATAGTATAGCATGTCGAAAAAAATATAGTACGTACGTAAAAAAAGACACAACTCTCTCTCCAGATTGTTTTAGATAGTTCTGTTGTTGCTTTAGCGACATACGAAACGTACTATGGCTATACCAAACGATACGATACGATAATACTTCAATCAGGAAAGACTTCATTTTGTTTAAAGAACATTTATTGACACACGTCATATGATAAATGTTAAATCTTTGGCGATTAGACCCCGATCCTGAAATCGTATATCTAAAGGGGGAAATGCAGCCGTGAGCATATAGGGAACCCCCCCGGGGTCTAGACACTGGTGATGATGATGAAGAGCTGGATTTGATGAGGAGATGGGATGAAGAGGGGATGTGATGAGGTCTTTGGATTGGCTCTCCTGGCACTGGATGTGATGAGAGGAGGTGGGCTGACTGCAGGAGAGAGGAGAACCATTTTAGAGTTTGGCTGCAGCACGCTGATTGGCTGCTGGAGAATGAGGTGGAATGTAATAGGTTTAAAAAGAAAGCCTGTGATGAGCTGATTATAAGCAGCTGCGGATTGAATGTATATATACTAGGGATGTAACGATATATCGAATATCGCGGTAAATAAATGTCTCAATACCGTCGTGAGACTGACTAAATATATTTTTTAAAAACCCTTATTCAACCAGATGGTCCCATTGAGATCATCAATCTCTTTTTCAAGGAAGACCTGTCCAACATGGCAGCAAGTAGGTTACAACATGAACATAAAACAACAGATAACACAAAAGGACATCGTATTTACAGGGCTACATGTACACACCTAGAGACATTGACAAGTACCAACAGTATATTTATATCTCTGTCAATAAGCCTCACCTTCTTGGCAACAACTGTATTGTTGTTGAAGTGGTGGAGAGACAATGCACAGTTTGACCCACTGCTGTCACCCATGGCCAAAGCATATCTCTCTGTCCCAGCAACATCAATACCAAGCAAGAGAGTTTTTTCCACAGCAGGGGATTTTGCAAACGCCCAAACATCCCAGCTTCTACCTGGAAATGTGGACATGCTCATATTCCTGAAAGATAACCTTGATGACGCTGAGTGAGTGAGTGAGTGAGTGAGTGAGTGAGTGAGTGAGTGAGTGAGTTAGAGTTGAGTTACTTGAAAAACTAAAGTGAAACTTGAGTTATTCTATTGCAGGCTCTGATTATTATATTGTTGACACGTTAAAATACTACTATCTACTAAAATGCTGTACAAATCAGATTTATTATTTAATAAAGAAAAAAAAATTCAAGTAGAAAAAAAAATTCAAGTACTTATTATTTTTTTTCAATATCGCGATATATATCGTACCGTGGACTTTTTATCGTGATATTATCGTACCGTGAGTTTTTGGTATCGTTACATCCCTAATATATACCCTGGGTGTTTCTCAATGTCGAGGACGCTTGCTTGGTAGCACATGACTTCCGAGTCACTTGCTTCAGAAGCGAGGCAAGAATACTTCCTGACATTTGGAAAACGAAGAGTGGAACAGGCGAGCAAGTGTGCAGGTGTGCGTCATGAGAGGCCCCGCCTTACATTGTCCGCCACAGATTTGGGGAAATTGGTCCGTGCGCAAAGCATTGTGGGGATTTTAAGACCGCGGAGTCTACACATGTGCAGCCTCGAAATGTCTCGCTACGAAGTATGCCGGGGCTCGGTAGAATTCCAAAAGCCTTATCACGGCTAAGAACCAATCAGATTGCTTGATTTGACTTGTCCGTTTTATAAAAGTATTTGATGCCCTTGCAACAAACAAGAGTTTCTCCACCAAGAACTATGTTTTGCAAGCGGATCAAATACTTATTTCGTCCACTGTAAGCAGATAAATCGTTTTAATCCGTTTGATTTATTTGTGTTTCAGGAGAGTGCGTCCTCACCACCAACCTGGCGTTCAGGAACGAGGAAGAGGAGGTGTCCGGGGGAAACCTGACCATCTTCATCATCACCTGCTTCCTGTTGGTGTTTGGCCTGGTGGCTGTCGTCTTCATCATCCGGCACTCCCGCTCCAAGAGGGCGCCTCCGGACATCACGCCTCGCGGGTACGAGAAACTGGGCTCAGGCGGAGGGTTCGGAGGAAGAGGGTTCAGCTCTTCGTCTTCTAGCGCTCGTCCCATTTCCTCTACTACTGGCGGACGCTTCCAGGACCCTCAACTGGTGGACGTCGCTAGGAGTAAAGACGATGATGATGACGATGAGGACATTGTTTACATGGGGCAGGACGGCACCGTATACAGGAAGTTCAGGTACGGACAGCTGGACGAGGACAACGAGGACGAGCTGGAGTACGACGACGAGAGTTACACGTTTCGGTGAATGTGTGGATTTCTGTAGAGAAGCTGAGATTATAAAGAAATCTTTAAAAAACGTACAAAAAATAACTCACTTTTAAAATAACTTGTTTTATTGCTCGATTTTAATGTGACTTTTCTATGTTTGTTTGTTGTCCTTGTTTTCCTACCTCTGTAAAGCGACTTTGAGCAGCTGTAAAAGCGCTTACAAAATACATTTATTATTTATTCAATAAAACAGAAGATTTATTCAAACTGACACTGAGGCTCCAGAAAGAGAATTTTAGGCAGGGAATTACTGTCAAACGTCCGGGCGTTAGTGTGCATTTATTGTAGGTGAGTTCCCATTATCTAACATATAACAAACAATGGCTTCTCCTCCTCTGTTTTCGCTGTTCAAAAAACCCTCCACCTGTGTCCAATATATACAAAATCACCAGGGGCCCATAACTCAAAATAAAAGCATAAACAAGCACCTTGATTAACTAAAAGAATGACAATAAATTATTCTTGTAAAGGTCACCTATCGTGCTATTTTTAGGCAATAGCAGAGGTCTCAGATATATAAAAATATATAAACAACACATCTATGAAGTGTTTTGCTCCAAACACCAAACAGATCATTCTAGCCATGCCTCATATCCCTCTATTTCACTTCCTGTTTCAAAAGTGCTGATTTGGGTATAAAGCTTTAAAGAGGAGGGGTCTGAGCTCATGCGGGACCCGGCAGCTACTGTCTAAACTAAATGCTGCCGTGATGAAACGCCATATCATGGATTATCAAGGATTCTCTCTGAAACAGTCTGGAGCTCAAAGGCTTTCTCTCTTGCCGGTTATACCACAAGGTGAGTTCCTTTTTACTTCCTGCTTCTTCACACACATGCTCTCCAGTACAGGTTAGCTCTGAGTGTTAGCGATGCTAATGTAAACACCGACCAGATTACGTCCAAAACAGTCGTGCATTGTTTCTGATAGCAACGTTTCTGATTGGGCCGTGGGTCCACATTTCAGATATTACGTCATATCGGACGCAAATCTGGATCAGCTCCGTTGTTCCCCGTTTTTAGAGATTTGGGTACGGAGGAAAAGAGAGAGGGTTTTATTTCCTGACGCTGCGTGAGTTCCCCGACACACCGGGGACACATGTTGATGTAGAGAAGACATCACAAAGTGCATTTTGCGTGATAGGTCCCCTTTAATATAAACAAATGCTAGAAAATGTATGTTAATTTAACCAAATGAGACAATCTGTTTATAACGAGCTGCCTTTTACAACCGCTATCCATTCACAAAATGTGCTGCAGGTAAAATGACATGTGTTCTCAAAGGCTCAAAGTGTAGGATTTCCCCCCAAAAATAAATATATATGTCACCCTCATTCATCACTTATGTCCCTCTAGAAGTGTGTGGCGGTGTCTTTATCGGCCAGGATTTACTGTCATATCATTTTGTTGTTTATTTTGGAACAACTTTAAAATATGTTTTACAACCAGGTACCAGATTGTTAGCACTTATCAAAAATACAACTATGAAGATGGAGTACACAGTGGTGACAAAACCTAAATGATATCAATGTGAAACACAAGGCATGACTGCATTGAATGTTGTTTACTATCTGCAGTCAACAAATCCTAATTAATTGTGCCTGTTGACAGCCTGTTGACACGGTAACACGTGGTTTTATGGAGGTTTTTTTAGTATAATGACATTTTCTGGCAATATTTATTAATATATTATGGGCATATACTTTCATTACTCATCGTTTAATTGTTGTGGTGTTTTTGCTTTTCTATATTCCCATGCTTGCTGTCATTGAAGTTCAATTAAAAAAAAAATGTAGAAATAAAGTCATGACTCTGAAATCACGAGTGAAACAAAGTTCAGACTTAATGTTTATTGAATTACTAGACAGTGATCCATAGCTCCTCTGCGCATCCTCTCCACAGCTGATCAGTTATCTATGAGGGGACATGCACTGACGCACAACACACACACAAGATATTGTGCTTTACAGAAATCCCATCTTTAATGTAGCTCTGAGGTTCCTCCATGATGATGCGGGAGTCTTTAAACTGAGCTAAAAGACAACACACTGATCACTTCTTATATATAACTAATGGCGCATTTCCACTGCAGCGCGTAGCACGGTTTAGCGTGCCGTGCCAAACCCGGCCCATTTTTTGTTGCGTTTCCACTAGGGGTAGTTCCGGCTAACGGGTACTTTTTTCACAGTTTTTCTGGCCCTCCAAAATCAAGGTTATTTCCGGGCTGAGTATGCTAAACTAGTGAGAGACTCGCTGCCCAGGGGGCTACAACTACAACAAAATGAACATATTTGACCGTGATTTAATTGTAATACACGTTTCTAAATGATGCCGAAGTAACAACACACTGATACCGGTTAGTAAAAACCATGAATTAATGCTTTGACAAGTCTGCAGACAGACGGCAGGCGAAAAACCTTTTAAAATGCGTGTTTTCTAAATGGAGCTTGGCTAAGCTAACGTTGTATATGCTCCGACCGTCCACACTCACAACAACGGCCTACAGACATAAATAAACCAGCGACTGTATTCTCCATGACACAGGCAGTCTGTGGTTTGTACTTGTTTAACTTGTGTCTAGTTTCTGAACAGATATGAGGAGCTGTGATCTCTGAGTGCTAACAGCTAACGGCTGATGTTGGTTTTGTGGTTCACATTGAAGATGACGTCACGGCTCCGCCTACACTGCGTTACTATAGTTACTGCCCCAGCTACTAAACTCTAATGGAAACGCAGCATAAAGTGAGCCTGGCCTACCAAGGCCTAACTATACCGTACTAAGCCGTGCGAGGCTCTGCAGTGGAAAAGCGCCATAACTCTCTTTAGTTTCATAATGACTCTATATAATATATATTTAACTCCTTAGCTCTAAATGTTTAGAAGTAGTTTTAAGACAGTAGTGGATTGCTTAAATGCAACAGTTGGTCATCTATGACACAAGGCTTTTGTATTTTTGGCTTCACCTTGTGCTTTTATTGTGGATTGCAAACACACAAGTGGCTTTTTTCAAATCTGAAATACTGAGTGACCAGTAAAGGGTGATAGTATTGCTTCACTGCTTCTCATGCACACGACTACAACACTAGACTCTACAAATGGATTTGCGCAGTGCATTGTCCGGTGTGTAATTGCATTTCTTATTTCTTATCCTACCGTGAACCACGAGCTGTAGCTCTGACTCTGACGCTCCACAGAGAACCAGATCTAACTCTTGAGTTTTAACAAGTTGTGTTTTCATATTCAACTCCAGTGTCTAATTGACAAACACTGACACACACACGCACACACACACGCACACACACACACACACACTAGTTTTACAGGCCTCTGATTTCCAGCTTTACCCGTACAATACAACTTTGAACATTGAAGACCCGTGTGGGTTTAAGAGCTGCTGGCCCCCGCTGCGCCTGGTCTGCTGGAAACAGAAGAAACAGAGATATTATTATTATTATGTTTATGTACGGGTGTCGGGTGTCACTGTTTTTTAAAATATTTTTCCAATATACCATCCTATGATTTTTTTCACATATTTGTGGACATTATGAGCTATGTTTTTTTTAAAATATTTTTAACATACTATGCTCTGAATGTATCAATTTGTTTTGACACTATGACTTTTCATAATATACTTTTTTGACATGCTATACCGAATTCTTAATTTTTTTTGATATACTTAACTATACCATGGCTTTATCTATTTTTTTGACACAGTATACTTTGACTTTTTCATATTTTGAATTTTTCATAAATGACTTATTTTGCATAATTTTAACATAGTATACTTTCAGTTTTTTCCTAATTTTGTACACACTATATCGACTTTTAAAATGTATCTTTTACACACTGACTGATTATACCATCTATTTTTTCCATATATTTCGACATGCTATACCCAATTTTTTACGTTTTCGAAGTACTTTAACATGACTTTTCTTGCTTATTTTTCGACAATCTATACTAGGGGTGTTTCTCAATGTCGAGGAAGGCTGCTCCAGAGCCACTATTTCAAGGATGCTACGTCATCGAGTCCCGCCGAAGGACTGTTCCAATGTCCAGCATGCTTGGAATTCTACCGAGGCCAGCGTCCTTTGTTGCGGGAAATTTCGAGGTTGCACATGTGTATCCTCTGTGGTCTTAAAATCCCCACAATGCTTTGCAATTTCAAAATCTTTGACGGAAATCGAGCTCCATTTAAGGCGGGGCCTCGCATATGACGCACACCTGTTAGCCTGTTCCACCATTCTTTGTTTTCCGAGGCTAGGAAGGATTCTTGCCTCGCTTCTGAAGGACCTGACTCACAGGGACATGTCCTACTAAGGAAGCGTCCTTGACATTGAGAAACACCCTAGGACTTTTTCATTGTTTTTGATTTACTATAATATAGATATCAATTTTTTTCAATATGAAATAACATGACTTTTTGCATATTTTTCAACACACTAAAGTTTCAATTCTTCCATATTTTCCCACATACAATACGGTCTTTTTTCATACTTTATGTCAACATACTATAATATAACGTTTACTGTAAGCTTCCTTATTCTATCATCTGGATTTCGGCATCTTGTCAGCAAGAAGAAAAACATAAAATCCCAACATTTGAAGGAGGAATTAAGATTACATTCTTAAAAAAACAGTTTTAAAAAATATATTTTAGACAATTAGAGGAAGTTTGACTAAAAAAGGAGCCCAAAAATAACCTTTCAAACGATATTTTAAAGACTATTATACATCTAAAAGGACTTACTCTGTTCTGCCTCTTCCTCCTACTGCTGCTGCTGTTGTTGTTTTTGTTGTTGTTGTTGTTGACTCCAATCCCATCAGAAAACTATTCCTCCTTAAAAAAAGAAAAAGAAACAGAGAGGTTGTTAGAGCAGGATTTATTGTTGTGTTTATTTGAAGTCATGCAAATTAGGATGTGATGCACAATTAATCATGGCGATCGATCCTTTATTCTACAGTAGTGATGAACGAGATGAAGCCAGTGCATTTAGCATCTCTTCTTCGTCCTTAATTGCGACCGTGGGCTAATCGCTAATCCAATTGGTCCAGATCCAGCAGGAGTGATCTGAGAGTGAGTCGGCTGATAAATGAGCTCCGAGGTAATGAGAGTCTTACTTTGAGTTCTCCGCTGCTTCCTTCAGCTCCTTGTCGACTCTGGAGGTGAAAGGTCAAATGAAAGGATGAATAAAAAGTCCTTTAATGGGACTCGGAGGTGCTCGGAGGTGCGGAGACTCACGTAATGATGCATTCTGGGATCTGGATGCTGTCCATGGGGATGGTTTCCTGCAGCTCGTCCAAACTGTTCACGTACTTAATCTTACTGCTGAACTTAGTGCTGAGACACACCACACACACCACACACACACACACACACACACACACACACACACACACACACACACACACACACAGACACACACACAGAGACACACACATACACAGAGACACACACAGAGACACACATACACGCATACACGCATGCACACACACAAAGACACACACAAAGACACACAGGCACACACACACACACACACACACACACACACACACACACCACACACACACACACACAGACACACACACAGAGACACACACATACACAGAGACACACACAGAGACACACATACACGCATACACGCATGCACACACACAAAGACACACACACACACACACACACACACACACACACACACACACACAGAGGAGACACACACACACACACACACACAGAGACACACACAGAGACACACACAAAGACACACAGGCACACACACAGGCACACACACACAAAGACACACAGGCACACACACAGGCACACACACACAAGACACACAACAAGCACACACACACACACACACACACACACACACACACACACACACACACACACACACACACAACACACCACACACACACACACACACACACACACACACACACACACACACACACCACACACACACACACACACACACACACACACACACACACACACACACACACACACACACACACACACACAGGGTAAATGATCCGGCTTCAGAGGAACTCGTTTTTCTCACAAAAGTGAAACCTAAGTTGTTTAAATGTGAATCAATACAAGCTATACTAAGCTAATGGCTAACGTTAGCATGCTACTAAAACGCTGAGGTTGAACAGGTTTCATTGTTACCATGGCGTTGTAATTTAAGCTAATAAGCACTAAACAATGAACAGTTGAAGTTGAATGTCATTTGTTCTGCAAGCATCAACTTGATTGTTTATGTGATTTAACTAATCAGGGTGATGTTTGTCATAGTTAGATCAGATGTAATGTATTGATCCCTAATTGGGGAATTGTTTGGCTCCAGCAGCATGTTGAACAAGGCCTTGCACATGAGTAGAACACCCTCTTTCTATTACGTTTCTATAGAACACAATAAAACATTATACAGAATGAGTTAGGAAAACTAATTACTTTTTCCACAAGACAATTTGAGACCAATTAAGGGTTTGAGCTCTTATGCTGTAAATAAACCAACGTATGGTCAAATTAAAATGTTCACTAGGGGATGGTATTAGTGGAAAAGTTACAGGATCAGCAAAGTTATTTAAATTCATCACGACAGACATTCACTAATAAACTAAATGAGGACGCCAGAGGAGAAGCTGATAGGAATAGGTTGAATTTCATCCTCTGGTAGCGATGAGTGTCTGTACACATTCTTCATGGCAATCCGTCAAATCATTGTTGGGATATTTCCGTGGAGTGAAATGTGAATCCTTAAATGTAAAAAAGGTCTGATTTTGTACCTGATGAAGGGCTTGGTGACGGCCAGTATTGTCCTGATGAACCACGACGGGTGGAGAATAATGAAGGATTTCAAATTCTTCTTGAGCCTGAACACAACACAGAACATCATAAGGTATCCATGTTGCACTTTCAACTTCATTTAGGAGGATACCAATCATCACAAGTCCAGATACTGATATGTTGGAGAAATCCTGAATGTACTGTCCCAATATGAGAGTAACATGATGACAAAGGTATCCCAACTGTAGCTGTGAACATGACAGGATGTGTGATTACCTAGAAGAGCATCAGGACTGTTTGAGGCATATGATAGCTATGTGATTAACATGATGATTCAGCCTCTATGGAGAGAGACATCAAGCATGCTCATTTCTGACGTGGAGCTAATCTGAAGTAAACATTGAATACTGCTTTCTACTCCTCCATCTTGTGACTGTGTGACTCCCTCTCTTGGATATCAGCATGTGAAGGACACTGTTTGAGATTTCGAGTAAAAAGTCAGGATTTTGAGAAAAACGACAGAATTTTGAGATTTTGAGAAAAAAGTCAGAATTTTGAGATTTTGAGAAAAACAGCATTTTGAGATTTTGAGAAAAAAAGGCATAATTTTGAAAGAAAGAAAAAAAAAATGATTTTGAGAAAAAGTTAAAAAAAAATGATTTTGAGAAAAAAGTCCAAATTTGAAAAAAAAGACATAATTTTGAGAGAAAGTTAGAATTTTGAGGAAAAAGTCCCAAAAAATTGAATTTGAGAAAAAAATACATAATTTTGAGTGAAATCAGAATTTTGAGATTTTGAGGAAAAACGACAGATTTTTGAGAGAAAGTCAAAAAAAATCATTTTGAGAAAAAAGACATAATTGTGAGAAAAATACATCATTTTGAGGAAAAAGTTAAAAAAAAAAGTTGAATTTCACAACAAAGTCAGAATTTTGAGAAAAAAAGTCAGAATTTTGAGAGAAAGTCAGAATTTTGAGAAAAAACTCAGTGTTTTGTTGATGACAGGATGTATGATTACAGAGAAGAACCGGCATTCCTCCATCTTGTGACTGTGTAACTCCCTCTCTTGGATATCAGCATGTGAAGGACACTGTTCAGGAACTACTTGATGCTCTGTATGTGATGACTACTTCCATTCTGGAGAGGATCACAGATACATGGATCCTGAGATTGAAGCTCAAGCCGGGGAGATTTTTCTAACATGTTATCACTACTATCCCATAATTAGGTGGTTTACCTCCTGTCGATCATCTGGTAGCATTTCTTTAGCCAGCCGAGGCCGGGCATCCTCCTGTGAGGCGTCGCTCCGTTCAGATACACGATCACGTAGTCCTCGGCCACCATGAGCTCCAGTGTGCTTATCACATAGCTGCACGCACACACACACACACACACACACCACACACACACACACACACACACACACACCACACACACACACACCACACACACACACACACACACACACACACACACACACACCACACACACACACACACACACACACACACACACACACACACACACACACACCACACACACCACACACACACACACACCACACACCACACACACACACACACACACACACACACACACACTCATAAACTCAAATGCTGGATAACCTTGATGTTAACCTCTAGGAAGAGGTATGAAAAATAGTTGGTGAGAAATTCCATTGAAAACCACAAATGTTAAAGTCATTTGGTAGAAAAGGGAAGAGTCAGAGGATCACTGAAGCTGGTCAAATTCATCCTCTGGAGACCATGAATGTCTGTAGACAATGTCATGCCAATACAATCGATAGTTTTTGAGAAATGTGTGGTGGAAAACTAAGAGATCGACATGTCTATCCCCAGAGCCACACGACTAGCAAAGCTTAAGAATCGACTGGTATTTGACTCTGGAAATGTAAGACTAAACATTTATGTATATTGCTTTTGCAGATATTTAAATATTCTTAATGGTACTTTTTGTTGTCCACCTGAGTGTGTACTTTTGTAAATTGTATTTGTGTATTTTTATCTTTAATATTTAATGCATAACTCTTAATGAATATTATTGCTATTCTTGGCTCTTCACTTTTTCCTTAACAAAGTACATTTCGCCTGAGTGTGACGAATAAAAAGCTCTTCTGATCCTGATGCAAAATGCTAAAACCATCCTACACCTCTGTTCGATACATGTGTACCAATTAGCATTTATCCAATTACCAACTGATGCCCCGGCCACACGAGGACGAAAACGGCTAAACGCATAGGATTAACGCAAACGCAAACGCAAAAAAGCTTCCGTCCACACGCAATATTCACCGGATAGTGTCTGTCCACACGAGACAGCTCCGTTTAGCTCCAACCGCTGGAGAAGCTGCAGTACATGCAGGAGCCTGTACGTGGCGCTGTAACTTCCTCCACAGAAGCAGCGAAGAAGCATGGTTGTCATGGTTGCCCTTCTGTTTATTCTCCGCGGTGGGGGCCGAGGGAACCGGGCAGAGTTTTTCGCCAGTCAACGTGTAATTAAAGTTTAAATCTTCCGACAAAATTATAAAAGTGCCGGTCAAAGGTCTTCTTTGTTATTTATTGAGCTTTGAAACAAATGAATAACGAATCTATATATTATAATAATAAAATACACGGAGCCTCTCTTTTTCCTCCCTCTCTTCGGACAGCGCCAGTGTCTGTCTCATGCAGCAGCTGATCCAGTAATAAGTGACCCGGCCAACAGTAAAAATAAACATATTCATAACTAGTTTAGGTAGTTTGAGAGGTGTCTCCGTCCTGTCAGATTAGACTTCACTCGCGTTTATGTCCATATCGAGAGAAAGATAAATAATCTGAATTCAGTGTGCAGTTTACTTTGACGCGGGGGTGAGCAGCAGAGGTGGGGAGAGGCGGGGCTATTGCCTCATCATTATCAGAAAATGATCGTATAGGGCGTACACACGGAGCCGTTTGACCCCCCAGAGCGTTGCGTATGCCGTTCTATCCACCTTGGGACCCGTTATCGTTTCCGCAGTCGTTTAGTGCCGTATTCGGTCATCCTCGTGTGGCCGAACGGTCTATATGACACAGAACAGTAACGCAAACGACCGTTTTCGTCCTCCTGTGGCCGGGGCATGAAAGAATATGGATGTCAAAAACGGTGAAATGCAAGAGCGAGAAATGCATAAACCATGCTCTGAATGCCAACAATACCAGGAGAGAGGAGACGTATATAGCATTTTAAGTGATGTCTCCTTTTGGTGAATATGCTGCTTCACGGCTGAGCACTTCCACTTTGAATTGCTCCTTTCTTCTTTCCTCCTGCCTCCATCTCAGCAGCTCAATCAGACTTCTACCTTTATAAAATGCAATACTGTGATTCAAAGAAGACGAAAACATGTTATCTTTCTCATTTCTCAGTCAGCGGGGAACTTTCTCACGTCCTTTGAAGAACTTTTCTCTCTCCTCTCGGCAGAGGTGGGAAGTAGTGGAGAACAAATACTTCGTTACTGTACTTAAGTACATCTTTCTGGTATCAGTACTTTACTACACTACTTATTTTCCTGATGACTTTTTACTTTGACTTCTTACATGTTGAACTCAAATACCTGTACTTTCTACTTCTCACATGTTGAACTCAAATACCTGTACTTTCTACTTCTCACATGTTGAACTCAAATACCTGTACTTTCTACTTCTTACATGTTGAACACAAATACCTGTACTTTCTACTTCTTACATGTTGAACTCAAATACCTGTACTTTCTACTTCTTACATGTTGAACACAAATACCTGTACTTTCTACTTCTTACATGTTGAACACAAATACCTGTACTTTCTACTTCTTACATGTTGAACTCAAATACCTGTACTTTCTACTTCTTACATTTTGAACACAAATACCTGTACTTTCTACTCCTCACATGTTGAACACAAATACCTGTACTTTCTACTTCTCACATGTTGAACTCAAATACCTGTACTTTCTACTTCTTACATGTTGAACACAAATACCTGTACTTTCTACTTCTTACATGTTGAACTCAAATACCTGTACTTTCTACTTCTTACATTTTGAACACAAATACCTGTACTTCTACTCCTCACATGTTGAACAACAAATACCTGTACTTTCTACTTCTTACATGTTGAACTCAAATACCTGTACTTTCTACTTCTTACATGTTGAACACAAATACCTGTACTTTCTACTTCTTACATGTTGAACTCAAATACCTGTACTTTCTACTTCTTACATGTTGAACACAAATACCTGTACTTTCTACTTCTTACATGTTGAACCCAAATACCTGTACTTTCTACTTCTTACATGTTGAACTCAAATACCTGTACTTTCTACTTCTTACATGTTGAACCCAAATACCTGTACTTTCTACTTCTTACATGTTGAACCCAAATACCTGTACTTTGTACTTCTTACATGTTGAACTCAAATACCTGTACTTTCTACTTCTTACATGTTGAACACAAATACCTGTACTTTCTACTTCTTACATGTTGAACACAAATACCTGTACTTTCTACTTCTTACATGTTGAACTCAAATACCTGTATTTTCTACTTCTTACATGTTGAACTCAAATACCTGTACTTTCTACTTCTTACATGTTGAACTCAAATACCTCTACTTTCTACTTCTCACATGTTGAACACAAATACCTGTACTTTCTACTTCTTACATGTTGAACCCAAATACCTGTACTTTCTACTTCTTACATGTTGAACCCAAATACCTGTACTTTCTACTTCTTACATGTTGAACACAAATACCTGTACTTTCTACTTCTTACATGTTGAACTCAAATACCTGTACTTTCTACTTCTTACATGTTGAACCCAAATACCTCTACTTTCTACTTCTCACATGTTGAACACAAATACCTGTACTTTCTACTTCTCACATGTTGAACCCAAATACCTGTACTTTCTACTTCTTACATGTTGAACCCAAATACCTGTACTTTCTACTTCTTACATGTTGAACACAAATACCTGTACTTTCTACTTCTTACATGTTGAACTCAAATACCTGTACTTTCTACTTCTTACATGTTGAACTCAAATACCTGTACTTTCTACTTCTTACATGTTGAACACAAATACCTGTACTTTCTACTTCTTACATGTTGAACACAAATACCTGTACTTTCTACTTCTTACATGTTAAACTCAAATACCTGTACTTTCTACTTCTTACATGTTGAACACAAATACCTGTACTTTCTACTTTCTACATGTTGAACTCAAATACCTGTACTTTCTACTTCTTACATGTTGAACACAAATACCTGTACTTTCTACTTCTTACATGTTGAACTCAATACCTGTACTTTCTACTTCTTAGATGTGAACTCAAATACCTGTACTTTCTACTTCTACATGTTGAACTCAAATACCTGTACTTTCTACTTCTTACATGTTAAACTCAAATACCTGTACTTTCTACTTCTTACATGTTGAACACAAATACCTGTACTTTCTACTTCTTACATGTTGAACCCAAATACCTGTACTTTCTACTTCTTACATGTTGAACCAAAATACCTGTACTTTCTACTTCTTACATGTTGAACACAAATACCTGTACTTTCTACTTCTTACATGTTGAACCCAAATACCTGTACTTTCTACTTCTTACATGTTGAACACAAATACCTGTACTTTCTACTTCTTACATGTTGAACTCAAATACCTGTACTTTCTACTTCTTACATGTTGAACCCAAATACCTGTACTTTCATTCTTCTTACATGTTGAACACAAATACCTGTACTTTCTACTTCTTACATGTTGAACTCAAATACCTGTACTTTCTACTTCTTACATGTTGAACTCAAATACCTGTACTTTCTACTTCTCTCATTTTCCAAACAGCTGGTTCCTTTAGTCTGAATGTGTGTTTGATGCGTGATCATTATTCTTTAGAGTCATTGCGTGCCTATTGATTTGAACACGATCCGTGTATCCATCATTTCCTGGTCTTCTCTAAAGAAGAGGGACCAATGGAAACGTTGTCATGTTGCCGTTGTTCAGCATGGAAACATTCATTAGCTAACAATGACATTATTGTTCTATTAATATAAAGGGAGGTCAGGTACTCTTTAAAACAGCTGCTAGTTATGGGTACTTTTTACTGAAGTACATTTCAAAGCCTCTTTACTTTTACTTGAGGAAAGGATGTGTGTACTTTTGAGTAACTTCAGTGACTTTGGGCTCTCCTCTCTTTGGGATCCATTGTCTTACAGTCCAACACTGCTGATCCACTCTGTTTGGTGATCATCTCCCGCTGTAAACCATCACCTCTCAGGATTCAGGACCCGGAGCCATCTGGCGTCAGAAAATGCCGACACTGAGCTTTACCTCCTTTCATTCCTGTCCAAAAACTCACATATGCCAGTTTTCTCAGTATCTCTCTCAGAGCAGCCTGTGGGAATCTCACTGTCCAAGCATGAAACAACACGCTGCCAGAACCTCAGTGAAGACGTCAACATGGGGGGGCTCCACGAGACACCATTCAATTTAACCACTTTATCTGGAGGGTTGTCCTTTACACAGAGCGACGTTGGCTGATTGAACCATTTAAGAGGACATATTGGGCTCATTAATAAAGTATAATATAATATGAAATAACATGAAATACAAAGAAATTATATTACATTAATAGGTTAAAATAAATTGTATATAAACATAAGATCTTGTGTGTTAGTAACACAAAATTAAAAATAAATAATAAATAATAATACAATAACATTTAGATTAAATAAAAAAATTGTTTGATATATAATAATAAATCAAATCAATTCTTATATTATTATATTTCTTAATTAACATGTGTGTGTATGTGTGTGTGTGTGTGTGTGTGTGTGTGTGTGTGTGTGTGTATGTGTGTGTGTGTGTGGTATCTTAATTTTAACGTGTTCCTCAGCAGGATGAAGACCGTGTGTGTGTATGTGTGTGTGTGTGTGTGTGTGTGTGTGTGTGTGTGTGTGTGTGTGTGTGTGTGTGTGTGTGTGTGTGTGTTACTCACAGGAAGAGGTTCTCCATTATTTCATGGTATTCCTCTCGGTCGCTGTCTGGCAGGAAACAGGCAGCGAACACGATGATGGCGTTCACCCCGTTGCTATAGTAACCTTGATAAAAACACACAAAAATAAAAGAGAAATGTTAACTTGACCTCGCTACCATGTTGGTGAGAGCTTAACCCTAATTAGCATAGTTTTCACACTTTGATTTCTCCATTATTGCCTCCATTTATCTGCCAATCTGCGCCTCTTTTGTCTCGGTTCCTTTCTCTAGTTTTCAGATAAATGTGATTTCCTTTTATCCTCAAACCCTTTCGTTAGCAGACGTTGAGTCACTCAGACAGAAGGTCTTTTATCTGAAGGACAGAGAACAGAGATATGTTCAGGGACAGACGTCTCTGCTTGGTGTTTGATTCAAGCTCAGAGCAACAGTAGAGGAACAGTTTGCAACCTGCTAGAGTGAGGAGTCACATTTCCAAAATCAATGGATAAGGTAAAACTGTTCTTATGGGAGTATTCTTCACATTTATAGATGAATTGGTTGATAACCCTCATTAGTTGTAGCCCTAGTGTTTCCATTTTGTTCATGGAGAGAACTGTTACATTATTTTTATACTTGAACCGACAAGTGACGCCATATGTCCCTCAACCAAGCAACTGCATTTCTCCACTCCACAAATACTGATATACACCTGAACATCAGCAGGAGAGGACTCTTTAAAGTAGAGACACTACATACTGATATACACCTGAACATCAGCAGGAGAGGACTCTTTAAAGTAGAGACACTACATACTGATATACACCTGAACATCAGCAGGAGAGGACTCTTTAAAGGCAAGACACTACAAACTGATATACACCTGAACATCAGCAGGAGAGGACTCTTTAAAGTAGAGACACTACATACTGATATACACCTGAACATCAGCGGGAGAGGACTCTTTAAAGTAGAGACACTACATACTGATATACACCTGAACATCAGCAGGAGAGGACTCTTTAAAGTAGAGACACTACATACTGATGTACACCTGAACATCAGAGGACTCTTTAAAGTAGAGACACTACATACTGATATACACCTGAACATCAGCAGGAGAGGACTCTTTAAAGTAGAGACACTACATACTGATATACACCTGAACATCAGCAGGAGAGGACTCTTTAAAGTAGAGACACTACATACTGATATACACCTGAACATCAGCAGGAGAGGACTCTTTAAAGTAGAGACACTACATACTGATATACACCTGAACATCAGCGGGAGAGGACTCTTTAAAGTAGAGACACTACATACTGATATACACCTGAACATCAGCAGGAGAGGACTCTTTAAAGTAGAGACACTACATACTGATGTACACCTGAACATCAGAGGACTCTTTAAAGTAGAGACACTACATACTGATATACACCTGAACATCAGCAGGAGAGGACTCTTTAAAGTAGAGACACTACATACTGATATACACCTGAACATCAGCAGGAGAGGACTCTTTAAAGTAGAGACACTACATACTGATATACACCTGAACATCAGCAGGAGAGGACTCTTTAAAGTAGAGACACTACATACTGATATACACCTGAACATCAGCAGGAGAGGACTCTTTAAAGTAGAGACACTACATACTGGTATACACCTGAACATCAGCAGGAGAGGACTCTTTAAAGTAGAGACACTACATACTGATATACACCTGAACATCAGCAGGAGAGGACTCTTTAAAGTGGAGACACTACATACTGATATACACCTGAACATCAGCAGGAGAGGACTCTTTAAAGTGGAGACACTACATACTGATATACACCTGAACATCAGCAGGAGAGGACTCTTTAAAGTGGAGACACTACATACTGATATACACCTGAACATCAGCAGGAGAGGACTCTTTAAAGTAGAGACACTACATACTGATATACACCTGAACATCAGCAGGAGAGGACTCTTTAAAGTAGAGACACTACATACTGATGTACACCTGAACATCAGAGGACTCTTTAAAGTAGAGACACTACATACTGATATACACCTGAACATCAGCAGGAGAGGACTCTTTAAAGTAGAGACACTACATACTGATATACACCTGAACATCAGCAGGAGAGGACTCTTTAAAGTAGAGACACTACATACTGATATACACCTGAACATCAGCAGGAGAGGACTCTTTAAAGTAGAGACACTACATACTGATATACACCTGAACATCAGCAGGAGAGGACTCTTTAAAGTAGAGACACTACATACTGATATACACCTGAACATCAGCAGGAGAGGACTCTTTAAAGTAGAGACACTACATACTGTTATACACCTGAACATCAGCAGGAGAGGACTCTTTAAAGTAGAGACACTACATACTGATATACACCTGAAAAACAGCAGAATGGGGCCCCTTTAATTCCTCACTTTTCTATATACGCTTATAGAGTTTATTTGGACAGCAGAACCACCTTTAAATAAAATAGTAAAACAGCCATTTAAATAAGCCATCGTACTAAAGTGCAGAGGAATGCAGAAGTGTACACTGTGTTTAGTTAGTGGTAAATTCCCTGTGTGATGGAGGATGTAATCTCGTCAGCTGGCTGCAGTTCAGCCTGTATTTCAGCCTGTATTTCCTCTTTGTCTTTCAAGTTGGCCGGCATCCAGGGTAAGATGAACATCTCCAGAGTGAGACATCGTTCTGACATCTCGTTAGCCGGGAAGTGTCCGGAGCCAGCTCGAAAACAATGAGCTGATTGTGACACAGCAGACAGGAGATAATCTACAACATCTGTGATACGCTTTCACTTCCGGAATCAGATAGCCAGGCCTGCTGTAAACAAGAGATGTTTACTCAGCTCGAACTATAAAATCCCCGTTTTGAAGCAGCTGAAAAGAGGCTGTCAGTTCTCAATGCTTTCAATCAAATTGGTTGTTTGCTTTTGTTCCTTTGAGGCAGCAAATCTGATTAAATAGATCATGAGTGCGTAACAAATATGATTTCTTTAGTTTTTGGTCCATTCTGATCGAGAACAGTTCCCTTTCTAAAGATAAGATACGAGAGACAAACACCACAGCATTTATCTATACTAAACAAAAGTAACAGTTAATTATCAGAAGTAATTATAAGAGGATATCATGATGCTGCAGCAGTTTGAGTTTGAGGAAATCAAGACGGAAAATGCACTGAAGTAAAAAAATAAGCACATTTTCTGCATTAATAACATTTCAATTAGGAAATGTGTTATCATGCTTTCCATACAATCTAAAATATGTACCTCTTTTAAAAGTGTTCTTTTAATAAAAGAATATTGATGCTATTGGTAGGATATGTACAGCCCTGGGAAAGCAACATTTTTATTTATAATTGAATTACCAATTTGATCAACTTAGCATTTTACATTTTGTTTAATTACATTTTTTGTATCTATATAAGTTTTTATGAATTATATAATTTTTGTTTCATTGCATTTCATTTGATTTATGTTGTTCTTTTTGTGAAAAGGTTAGAGCAGCGCTTAGAAAAGTGGTATTTAAATACATTTATTATTACATGGCTTAATGTAATGCTCGATTCTGATTGGTCAATTGGGACATTTCAGAGGTCAATATGGCAGCAGTAGAGACCGCTGTTAAGCACTATAATGACCGTTGCTAAGGAAGATCTAGAGAGGTTAAAATACGTTTTCTAAGCCACATGATACGATACGAAAACCACCCTTTACCTTAACAGTGAGAATAACACTGTCTTAGTTAGTACTGCGTATACATTCAAACCTATTCCCTTCTGTAATAGTGATAAACATCCAGTAATAGTCACCTCCGTGTGAGATGACCCTCATGTAGGGCTCGATGACCTTCATGTTGATGCGGTGCTCCTGCTCCCCGATGACCACGGTCCTCCACAGCTTCCCGTCCTGACGCTCCTCCTCTGCGCTGTACGTCGGGATGGAATAGGACGGCTCACTGGGCCTGGAGGCTGGGTTAGGGTCTGATGGGAGCAAATACTGAGTTAGAGGTACTGGGGCAACATCAGTGGTGTGAAGCAGCTAAATGTGATACATGTTCATTACATTAATGTACACAAAGTATACGATATCTGTTTTTTATAATTACTGCACATATTTTATTCCATATACTGCTATATTTGACTATATTTGTTATTATTTTTTAATGTTATTATAGTTTTCTTAAAATAGTTCTCTATCTGTTTTAAATTATTGTTTTACTTTTATGTATGCACCACGACATCAAGTCAAATTCCTCGTATGTGTCAACCTACCTGGTGATAAACCTGATTCTGATTCTGTTCTCTTTTTCTTATGAAGACATTTTGACTTATTAAAGAAGAAAAGACCCTTAAAATCATAAGGCGCGTTCACACCGGAGTACTTTTCCCGTTTAGTTCCGTTAGTACCCCTTATTTTGCGTCCACACCAAAAAGAGTACTTAGTGTACTTTTACCCCGCATTTTTAGTGCCTGCTAGAGACGTGGGACTTTCCTGGGGAGAAAAAAGTACCAATTTCTATTTGCTGGGCGAATTGCAAACCACGCCCCGTAAAAAAGTGAAGCCGCCATTGCATTTGCTGGCATTAGCATTATTAGCATTAGCCCAGCGCAGAGAGACTAACTTATGACAACACAAAATAAAACATGGGAGCGGTGGAGATGAGGAGGTGTCGCAGTTCTGACAATTTACTCGGAAGGCTCCAGTAGAAGCTGCTGGGAGTCCCAGCAGCTTCTACTGAAGCCAGTCCCCAACTCCGGGGACTTCCGGTCGGGGACTCCGGGTGGCAGTATACACCGTGAAGTGGTTTGCGGCCTGCCAGTAAACCCAAAGCAGAAGAAGAAGAAGTGACGTCAGCGGCTTCATTTGCCTAATCCTCCCCCAGTGAACGTGATCTGTACTTAGTTCCATGGGGGTACTAAGTGCCGGGGCACTAAGTACGGCAAAGTACTTGGTGTGAAAGCGGCTATAGTAAACCCTGTTGGTCTGGAGCACTGTAACATTACATATGATAACACTTATTATAATGTTGCAGGGATTTAAAAACAAACAAATTTAAAAACAGCAACACACATATTTCTCAGAGAATTTTCGCAGTTTTAAAAAGCCAACTCCGGACCCCCCTTATTAGTTTGGCTTTTAAAGGTCACCTATCATGCTATTTTTAGGCAATAGCAGAGGTCTCAGATATATAAAAATATATAAAAAACATGTCTATGAAGTGTTTTGCTCCAAACACCAAACAGATCATTCTAGCCATGCCTCATATCCCTCTATTTCACTTCCTGTTTCAAAAGTGCTGATTTGGGTATAAAGCTTTAAAGAGGAGGGGTCTGAGCTCATGCGGGACCCGGCAGCTACCGTCTAAACTAAATGCTGCCGTGATGAAACGCCATATCATGGATTATCAAGGATTCTCTCTGAAACAGTTTGGAGCTCAAAGGCTTTCTCTCTTGCCGGTTATACCACAAGGTGAGTTCCTTTTTGCTTCCTGCTTCTTCACACACATGCTCTCCAGTACAGGTTAGCTCTGAGTGTTAGCGATGCTAATGTAAACACAGACCATATTACGTCCAAAACAGTCGGGCATTGTTTCTGATAGCAACGTTTCTGATTGGCCCGTGGGTCCACATTTCAGATATTACGTCATATCGAACACAAATCTGGATCAGCTCCGTTGTTCCCCGTTTTTAGAGATTTGGGTACGGAGGAAAAGAGAGAGGGTTTTGTTTCCTGACGCTGAGTGAGTTCCCCGACACACCGGGGGGACATGTTGATAAAATACATCACAAAGTGCATTTTGCATGATAGGAGACCTTTAATTGAATTGTAGTTATTATTATTTTATTCAGTCCTTTGTTAATTGGCTAGTGTTAGTATTAATTGTTTTTATTAATCACAAAGATATGTGTTGCTCTGTCTATGAACTCAAATTGGGGTAGTATTTTTTGTTTGTTTTTTAAATGTGAAGCCCTTTGTGTTACCATGCGTGTGAGGAAAGCTATATAAATAAAGATGAATTGATTGATTCGTTTACATTGCAAAAGTTAGAGACTAGCTCACAAATCCAGAACATGGAGTCTTATCGTTTTATATTCTATACTTTCTTTTCTACATGTTGACCTTTATGCCTCCTGCAGGATCAAGAATGTGTTGTTTTTTCGACCCACCTTCCCAGTCCATCTCATGGTCGGTGTAGTCGAGGTAATCGCCCTCGTCCGGGGTGTCCAGGTCGTCCACGTTGATGTCCAGGTCGTCGGGCGTCTCCCCCAGGTCGTCCTCGCTCTGGTCCAGAGACAGACTGATACGAGGGGCCGATAGCTTCTTCCTCTGAGAGGGACCACCCTGCAGGGTGAGGGAGGTGGGAGGGACTGCAAACAAACACACAACAACAGCATCAAAAAAGAGTCACTTGGTTAGAAATCAAAAACCAAACATTTCATTTTGGATCGGAGCGCCTCACCTGGTCGTCCTTCGCCCCCCTCAGAGTTCATCTTGCTCTCTGATGACGGGTCCATCTCCAGGAGGACCTAGGAGAAAGTTATTTAAAGTTATTTTACTGGAGATTTCATCCACTGATAATAATTAATTAGTAACTCATATTTTAACACTGAATCACTTGTCATTGTACTTCTCTGATCTGAATACTTCCTCCACCACTTTTTAAATACTTTTCTTAGTATCAGAGAGCAGAGAACCACAAATACATTTGTGCCTAACTAGGTTTGAGGTCATTTAAAAAGACTAGTATTCCATAGTTATACCAATTATGACAATAATCAGATTTTGAAACGGGGTATGTTTTTTTGTTTTACGTAAAAAACACATTTAATTTGGATATTACCCAATAGGGCTTTTTTCCAAATGTACTGCAGCCTTTTCTGATGAGACAAGTGTGATAATATTCAGGTTTTAAGACTGTTCTTAGGACATGGATTCGGAATATCAATGGGGATAGATGGATAAATATACTTTATTGATCCCAATTTGGGAAATTATTTTGTTGCAGAAGCAGCAGTAGATTGCATATGCCGCCTCTTGCAGAGTTTGTGCATAAACGCTAAAAGAATAGCTTTAGGAAACACAGATCACAAAACTCGCAGAACAGTAACAACGACGGTTCACCTATAGGAGCAGAAAGTAGGAACATTCGGGCTGAATTTAATGAGCATTGTGTTAGCGTACATCATTATGCATGGCTCCCTGTTTTCATTAGCCATGTGAACAACTCTAAGAGATCCTTATCAGCGTCATATTTGTGTTGTATGTTGAAAGTAGGGACTGTCCCGAATACCATTTTTCGGGCTCCGGATATTCGGTAGTAATCAGCAGCGAATATTCGTTCCGCGCGGGGGGAGGGGGTGCGCAGTAATCAGCAGTGAACCGCTTCGACACGTGTATTTCGGTGTATTCGCGGCATTATTTGTGTTATTCTACAGTATTGTTGTAGTTATTTGTTAATGTATATAACCCAATGTGTGTTCTTTGAAATTGAAAAGGATATTGCATTGTGTGTGTTACTTTCGTTGCTTCCGTGAGCGCCCCCTAGTGGTCCGTGAGTATATTGGTAAAATTTCACATTTTTTTTTCACAAGTTTTCCGCACTCTCGCGGGAATATCTCCGCAATGGAGCGAGCTTAAGTTTCACGTGTCTTAAGTGTAATTTGGCTTGGCTTCCTATTTCGTATGGACATGCTTTTATTTTGAAGGAGAGTTAGAAGAGCTATGGAAACAACGTAATATCTATCTATCTACATATAAAGACAGAGAAAGTAAACAATAACGTTTATGGTTAAGTGTTAGCACCCCCCGTAGAGGTACAAGCTCTTACGTTAATATTGGAGATTTCAATAAATAAAAAAATAAAAAACGAAAGAAAAAAAACCCCGAATAACGAAATTGAAACCCGAATAGTTCTCCAACGAACGAATATTCGGATATAGCCCTAATCTTCTTAATCAGAAATTAATATCAGCCTCAAAAACTCAAGCTACACAAATAATGAGTAGAAGAAGCCCCCCTTCATGTCTTAAAGTGCACCGGGTTATTGCTATTGTAAGGCATATATTATGGGTCTCAGATATATACAAATATATACAAACATGTCTATGATGTGTTTTGCTTAAAATACAAACAGATCATGCATTTAAAAAATCCCTCATATCCCTCTATTCCAGTCCTGTTAGAGAAACGTGGATTTTGAGTCCTTAGCTTGAAAAAAAAAAAAGGAGGAGGCAGAGCTAATGCCTACGGAAGTGGATTAGGGCCACATGATTATTTATTTTTTCAGAAATCTGACTTCTGAGATTAAAGTCAGAATTCTGGCTTTTTTCTCAGAACAAAAAAAAAAACATTTTTTTTTCAAATCCTCCCAAAAATTGTTTTAATGTGGCCCCTTCCGTAAATGCCTGATCAGAATTCTACCGGAGATAAAGTTAAATTCTGCTGTGATAAAACGCCATCCTGTTCTAAACCACATCAAGGATTATTTCTGAAACAGTATGGAGCTCAAATGCTTTTTCTCTTGGGGTTTATCACAAGGTGAGTTCTTTTTTTATCTCCTACTTTTCAAACACATGTGCTCTCCAGTACAGGTTAGCTCTGAGTGTTAGCGAGGCTTGCTAATGTGAACAAAAACGAGATTACGTCCAAAACACGTCAGGCATTGTTTCTGATGGCAACTCTCTGTGGGTCCGCCGCCGATTTGACGTCAGATCGGCAGCAAATCTGTATCCGCTCGTTGTAGCCCCGTTTTAAAAAGATTTGGGTACGGAGGAAAAGAGAGGGTTTTATTTCCCCGACGCACCGGGGACACATGTTTATGTATAAAATACATCACAAAGTGCATTTTGCACGATAGGTCCCCTTTAAGAAATGATATATTGATTTAACGTGATCAATGCTCATATTTGTTTCCCTGACTCCTCAGTCATCAGAATGAGAACAAGAGGAGAGAAAAGAGTGAGGAAGATATCGAGGTTAAAGGTCAGCTTCCTGTGAACAACCCTCCCATTCAGACTGCAGGGGGAGGGGTGTTCGGGGATTGTTACATCATGAAAAGCACATTCCCCCTCCTCTCTGCTGATTCAAATAGGAAGAGAGAGCCCTCTCGCCTGAACACAGATTGATGCAAATTCACAGCGAGTCACGTGGCTCTCGTTCGAGTGGAAGGAAGCATCCTCGTTCGCAGGGAAGGAAACGAGGAAGAAGTGACTGTGTTAGAGGGTGGGGAATAAAATGCCGAATGGCTGAGAGGATGACATGATGCTGACGATCCACAGAAACACGTACAGTGCAGACAGTTTCTCCATTTAAAATAAAAGAATAATAATAATTAAAAAATAAGAATAAATATAAAAAAATAAATATAAATATAAAAAATAAGAATAAATATAAAAAAATAAGAATAAATATAAATATTAAAAAATAAGAATAAATAAAATATAAAAAGATAATAATAAATAGAAATAAAATAATAATAAAATAATGTTTTTATAATAATAATAATAATTTAAAAAATATATTAAAAAATAAATACATATATATATATATATATACAAATAATATATAAAATAAAAATAATAAATACAATGATGCAAACTCCCAGTGAGTCACGTGAGCTCGCTCAGGAAACATCCTCCTTCCTCCTGGAGCCGGAAACGAGGAAGATGTCATCGTATTAAAGGAAAAATAAAATGCTGAATGGCTGACTCAGGTACACATGACACAATGCTGACGATACACAGAAACATGTACAGCACACACACACACACACACACACACACACACACACACACACACACACACAGATAATAAGCAATGACACACACACACACACACACACACCACACACACACACACACACACACACACACACACACACACACACACACACCCACACACACACACACACACACACACACACACACACACACACACACACACACACACACACACACACACACACAGAGAGATAATAAGCAATGACACACAGCTAAAATCAGCATCAGCTCCATGGAGGATGCTGCTTCTCATCACAGAAACCCCTCCCTCCTCCTCCTCCTCCTCCTCTCTTCCTGTCTGTGAGGAAAAGATAAAACACATATTTATCTTTCTATTTCTCTCTAGGGAATACAAAGACCCCTACTCACCACTGGAGTCTCTGTCCCGGTGTGTCTCAGAGCATGGATGTGCTGCCTTTCCTGCTTTTTCTCCCAGCCTCTCGTAGAGATGCTCAGTTTACAAACAGCTCACAGCGTCCACCATTTTGTGGTCACATGATCTGGGCCATTACCAAATAAGGGCGATCACCTGCTCTGACAGCTCTCGTGCTCAGCAGCTTCTGCAACTGAATGGAAAAAATAGGAGGAGTGGCGTTTGTGTCATTCATTTCCGCGTCTGGATAAACTGGATTTATTACTACATGAGAGGAAAGCAGGGCTATATTCATGTAATAATTAACCTGACTGAGCAGCTGCAAGATTGCTTTAGCCCTTAGGGTTTAAAAAAACAAACAATAACTATCAGAAATTGCCAATTTGTTGTGCTTGTATAATATTCAAGAGGACATATTATGCTTGTATATTTGCTTTTGGTGCCTCTTTACATGCTTTAATCAGTATGTCTCTACTTTAAAGAGTCCTCTCCTGCTGATGTTCAGGTGTATATCAGTATGTAGTGTCTCTACTTTAAAGAGTCCTCTCCTGCTGATGTTCAGGTGTATATCAGTATGTAGTGTCTCTACTTTAAAGAGTCCTCTCCTGCTGATGTTCAGGTGTATATCAGTATGTAGTGTCTCTACTTTAAAGAGTCCTCTCCTGCTGATGTGCAGGTGTATATCAGTATGTAGTGGCTCTACTTTAAAGAGTCCTCTCCTGCTGATGTTCAGGTGTATATCAGTATGTAGTGTCTCTACTTTAAAGAGTCCTCTCCTGCTGATGTTCAGGGGTGTATTTATATCAGTATGTAGTGTATCTACTTTAAAGAGTCCTCTCCTGCTGATGTTCAGGTGTATATCAGTATGTAGTGTCTCTACTTTAAAGAGTCCTCTCCTGCTGATGTTCAGGTATATATCAGTATGTAGTGTATCTACTTAAAGAGTCCTCTCCTGCTGATGTTCAGGTGTATATCAGTATGTAGTGTCTCTACTTTAAAGAGTCCTCTCCTGCTGATGTTCAGGTGTATATCAGTATGTAGTGTCTCTACTTTAAAGAGTCCTCTCCTGCTGATGTTCAGGTGTATATCAGTATGTAGTGTATCTACTTTAAAGAGTCCTCTCCTGCTGATGTTCAGGTGTATATCAGTATGTAGTGTCTCTACTTTAAAGAGTCCTCTCCTGCTGATGTTCAGGTATATATCAGTATGTAGTGTATCTACTTTAAAGAGTCCTCTCCTGCTGATGTTCAGGTGTATATCAGTATGTAGTGTATCTACTTTAAAGAGTCCTCTCCTGCTGATGTTCAGGTATATATCAGTATGTAGTGTATCTACTTTAAAGAGTCCTCTCCTGCTGATGTTCAGGTGTATATCAGTATGTAGTGTCTCTACTTTAAAGAGTCCTCTCCTGCTGATGTTCAGGTATATATCAGTATGTAGTGTATCTACTTTAAAGAGTCCTCTCCTGCTGATGTTCAGGTGTATATCAGTATGTAGTGTATCTACTTTAAAGAGTCCTCTCCTGCTGATGTTCAGGTGTATATCAGTATGTAGTGTCTCTACTTTAAAGAGTCCTCTCCTGCTGATGTTCAGGTGTATATCAGTATGTAGTGTCTCTACTTTAAAGAGTCCTCTCCTGCTGATGTTCAGGTGTATATCAGTATGTAGTGTCTCTACTTTAAAGAGTCCTCTCCTGCTGATGTTCAGGTGTATATCAGTATGTAGTGTATACTGTGACATGTCTCCATGCTTTAATGTTCACTTGCAGCACCTCTTTTCACCCTCTGTCTGAAACCAGAGCCCAGTCTGCTCTGATTGGTTAGCTGGCCGGCTCTGTTGTGATTTGTCAACCGCTGATAGATGTCCTGCCCTAGCCTATCACCTACAATGTGTTGGAGCGCTAGCCAATAGGAGCCTGAGTGTTACGTAGTGATGTCTATATGTCCCTGATAGTGGGATTTCAGCCTTTGCAGACCATTTACATGCACATAAACCTACAGGAAAGGGAAAACCCCAAAAAGCATAACAGGGTCTATTTAAATAATCAAACCGCTCAAACAAAAATGCTAAGGCAACTTCAAATGTGTCCTTTATATTCTGCATTAACTCCGGAAAAAGCAGATAAGATCAATATTACCTACTCAGACTCTCCCTCCACAGAAACAGGCGTTGTCTCTTCAGCTGAATATCTCTTTCTCTCTTTAGTCCCAACGGTAAGACAGGAAGACAGACGGCAGCCTCACAGACCTTTGCACACCGCACCGTTGTTTAGCACAAAGGTTGATAATGCTTCAAGCCAAAAAGTGTGACCACGCCCAGCTTTGTGGTTAATGAGTGCAGCTGCTGTCATATATCATCACCACACACCAGAGGGTGGAAGTAGTGGAGTACAAATACTTTGTTATGTACTTAAGTACATGTTTCTGGTATCAGTACTTTACTCCACTACTTATTTTTCTGACGACTTTTTACTTTGACTTCTTACATGTTGAACCCAAATACCTGTACTTTCTACATGTTGAACTCAAATACCTGTACTTTCTACTTCTTACATGTTGAACACAAATACCTGTACTTTCTACTTCTTACATGTTGAACCCAAATATCTGTACTTTCTACTTCTTACATGTTGAACACAAACACCTGTACTTTCTACTTCTCACATGTTGAACACAAATACCTGTACTTTCTACTTCTTACATGTTGAACACAAATACCTGTACTTTCTACTTCTTACATGTTGAACCCAAATATCTGTACTTTCTACTTCTTACATGTTGAACACAAACACCTGTACTTTCTACTTCTTACATGTTGAACACAAATACCTGTACTTTCTACTTCTTACATGTTGAACACAAATACCTGTACTTTCTACTTCTTACATGTTGAACCCAAATATCTGTACTTTCTACTTATTACATGTTGAACCCAAATACCTGTACTTTCTACTTATTACATGTTGAACCCAAATACCTGTACTTTCTACTTATTACATGTTGAACCCAAATACCTGTACTTTCTACTTATTACATGTTGAACCCAAATACCTGTACTTTCTACTTCTTACATGTTGAACACAAATACCTGTACTTTCTACTTCTTACATGTTGAACTCAAATACCTGTACTTTCTACTTCTCACATTGAACTCAAATACCTGTACTTTCTACTTCTCACATGTTGAACTCAAATACCTGTACTTTCTACTTCTTACATGTTGAACTCAAATACCTGTACTTTCTACTTCTCACATTGAACTCAAATACCTGTACTTTCTACTTCTCACATTGAACTCAAATACCTGTACTTTCTACTTCTCACATGTTGAACTCAAATACCTGTACTTTCTACTTCTCACATGTTGAACTCAAATACCTGTACTTTCTACTTCTCACATGTTGAACTCAAATACCTGTACTTTCTACTTATTACATGTTGACCTCAAATATCTGTACTTTCTACTTCTTACATGTTGAACCCAAATACCTGTACTTTCTACTTCTTACATGTTGAACACAAATACCTGTACTTTCTACTTCTTACATGTTGAACTCAAATACCTGTACTTTCTACTTCTCACATGTTGAACTCAAATACCTGTACTTTCTACTTCTTACATGTTGAACTCAAATACCTGTACTTTCTACTTCTTACATGTTGAACACAAATACCTGTACTTTCTACTTCTCTCATTTTCCAAACAGCTGGTTCCTTTAGTCTGAATGTGTGTTTGGTGCGTGATCATTATTCTTTAGAGTCATTGCGTGCCTATTGATTTGAACACGATCCGTGTATCCATCATTTCCTGGTCTTCTCTAAAGAAGAGGGACCAATGGAAACGTTGTCATGTTGCCGTTGTTCAGCATGGAAACATTCATTAGCTAACAATGACATTATTGTTCTATTAATATAAAGGGAGGTCAGGTACTCTTTAAAACAGCTGCTAGTTATGGGTACTTTTTACTGAAGTACATTTCAAAGCCCAATTTAGTTTAAAAACACAAATTCAGGTGATTTCAGTTTGTATATTTCTTTAAGTTAGCGAAAGAAAAAGATAAGAAAAGGTTCACAATCCAGTATGAAAACACTTATTTGGGTGCTTTTAATATCTATATGTCAAAGTTGTTTAAAAAAAAGAAGAAGGGTGAGGGTAGGAGCGAATATACATATTGTTATATATATTTGTATTCCTCGGGATTGTGGGAAACGGTATTTTGAACTCTCTGTCTGTACACACAAACTGAAAGATTGACAATAAAGTTGACTTTGAAGGTAGAATGAGAGCTTGTATGGTTTCAATATCTAAACATTTTTTAATTAGTGACAAAATAAGATTAGGAACAGTGCTGAATATATGCTGCTGCGACGCAAACATTTCCCAAATTGGGATCAATAAAGTACAGTATCTATATCTATCTATCTATCTATCCATCTATCTATCCATCCATCTATCCATCTATCTATCCATCTATCTATCCATCTATCCATCTATCTATCCATCTATCCATCCATCTATCTATCTATCTATCCATCTATCTATCCATCTATCTATCCATCTATCCATCTATCTATCCATCTATCCATCTATCTATCTATCCATCTATCCATCTATCTATCCATCTATCTATCCATCTATCCATCTATCTATCCATCCATCCATCCATCCATCCATCCATCTAGTCCAGGGGGGTCAAACTCAAATACACAGTGGGCCAAAATAAAAAAATGGGTACTAATGGAGGGCCGGACTGGTTCAATGTTTATTGCAGAACTTATTGAAATGAACTTATTGCACATATTAAACCTGGAACTAACAAAGCTTCAATGATTGCCTATAAGAACAACATTAAATAATCAGTTGCATTCATTTCTTATGGCTCTATCTGCAGCTTCTCCAGAGTCATTTCTTATGAGTACATTTTCCCCCAGGCCAACAACAGCTTCAACAAAACTATTCCCCTCAAAGAGAAAACCAAACATGCCCTGTTGTCCTGAGAGAAAGTGCAGAAGGAAGCATCCATTGAAACTCAGTGTGCTGCTCTGTGATGCTAGCTCAGATACTTGGCATCTCATCTTGGGTGCAAGGTCATCAATGTTTGGGCTCAGGCTCTGAGCGGAGGAGACCCTCAGGATGGAGTGAAGGTGTGCGTGCAATATACCGGCGGGCCAGATCTAATAGTAATTAGAAATTATCCTGCGGGCCGAAATTAAATCCACCACGGGCCTGATTTGGCCCCCGGGCCTCGAGTTTGACACATGTGATCTAGTCAGTCTAGTTCCCGGCTTTTCTTTGGTTTCCTGTTAGTCCCGATGGGTTGACGAGTATTTGTCTAACCAGTTTGATATAAAGGATTGGGTGTCTCCCAAACTGAATAAAAGAAACTCTTATATAATAACCCAGGAGGATAATTAACTAGGGCTGAACCAGAAAGCTCAGAGCTTCATCATACCACAGAAATATAAATTCAAAATCAACATTTCAGCACTGTGTGTCTTTCATTTTAACATGAGGCTAAAATAATGTTGTTAGTACAATTAGATTAAAAATAATTGATGAAACATTTCGCGTTTTAAAGTCCAAAAGTCAATATTTATTGGAGTAAAAATAGATGTAATAATTTCCAAAATTAAACAAGATGTTTATATACAGCTGTATCAAGAAGGTGGTGCAGCAGCGAGCTAACTGTGCTATAATTTACATTCATCACAACAAAAAGTTATTGTTTAAGGGGCGACTACTTCTTATATTATTATTATTATTATCATTACATTAAATCATATTAATGTAAATTAAATAATTCTTATTTAATTATTGCATTATATTTCATAATAATCATAATAATCATACATAACATTTGTATAGCACTCTGGGTAGCTAAAGTTGCTTTACATTAGCAAAACATTAAAGGTTTTTAAAGATAAGTAATTAAAGGTAATCCTAAGAGAAAACAAATACATTTAAAATTAGAAGGGAATAAATAAAAACCACCCGAACAAACCCTAAGGTCCGGCACTTGTTTTCAGGGGGTTTTCTTAAATATGATAACAATACACATTTCCAGTCTCTTACCTGGAACGGCTGCCTACCTCTGATGTCTTTGAACACACTGCAGCCGACAAGAGATTAAAAAAAAGTCCATAACATTTTACGACATGTGACCGAAGGCTCCTTCTTCTTCCTGTCTGCACCCCGCCTTATTCCAGGTTAAATATGTCAATGTTCTCCTGGAAGATTGTGTCTTTGACCGAGCTGAAGACGATCTTGATGTTCTTGGTGTCCGTGGCACAGGTGAAGTGTTTGTAGAGACTTTTGGGATGGTCGCTGTGGTTCTGCACGTACATTTGCAAGATGAACTCTTGTGCTGCTTTGGCATCTCCCTGAGGACCTGTGGAGGAAAGAGAGGACATTACATTCTGAGAGATGACCCATCACTCACGTCTCCCACCAGATAGACATTTTAAAGCAGGGGAGTCCAAACTGTTCTCACTGAGGGTCACATATAGAAAAACATACGAAGGGCTGGACCTCACTAGTGGTGAAGCATATTGCTTCCTAAATTAAATTACGAGTTAGCAGATTCAATCAAATACGTATATCACAGCTCTCCATCAGTTTTCATTTATTTCGTAGGCAGCTCGTTCAAAACAGAAGCCTCAGATTGCTCATGAAAAGGGGAAATATGAAGGGTCTATTTCGAGCTTGTTATGTAAATAAATTATTGTGCTTTTTCATCAACAAAGATTGACTGAATTTATTATGAAAAGTGGGATTATTAACACACACACATATATATATATATATATATATATATATATATATATATATGAAGTACAATATAAGACAAGCACAAGTTTCAGGTTTGGGCCATTTTCCATTATACTGTTAGAATTTGGTCATTCCAGAGGTCTGTTCGTTTTTGCTAACAGACCGTTGCTAAGAGAACAGACCGTTGCTAAGGAGAACAGACCGTTACTAAGGATAACAACTATATATATAAATACTAAGCGTCTTTGAGTTTCCTGAAAAGCGCTATACAAGTCTCATGTATTATTATTATTATTGTCATAACAGACCGTTGCTAAGGAGAACAGACCGTTGCTAAGGAGAACAGACCGTTACTAAGGAGAACAGACCGTTGCTAAGGAGAACAGACCGTTGCTGATGAGGATAAAGGGACTATGTGCTGTCATATCAATCTGCAGAAAGCAGTCGGTGGTTAATTTAACGACAGCTGTGAACATCAAACATTTCATTCATCAGAAAACCCCGTGGAATACTTTAGGAGTATTTATTTTTATATTTGTGCCAGGAAAGAAAAGAAAAAGAGCAATATGCAGCGAGGCGGTAAATCAACAAATCATTTTAGTTGCAACTAAATATGCAGTTTGGCAGTTTTATTTATAACAAAGCAGAGTATATAAAAGAACGTTATATGTTTTCAAACTACAGGTTTTGAAGGCAGTTAGATGTTTGAAATGAAGTCAAAAGTACGCAATTTCCCTCTGAAATGTTGAGTTAATATGGAGCATTAAATAGTAAAAAGGGATTTTATTCACAGAGAAGAGCATGCTTCACCTTTGAAGGCCGGGAAGTATGTCGCCAAATGAGAGCGTAAGATCTTCTCCTCCAGCAGGTCCTTTTTGTTCAGGAAGAGGATGGTGGAGGACTCCTGGAAAAAGGAGTAGGAGAGGATGGTCTTGAACAAGGCGAGGCTTTCTTGCAGTCGATTCTGAAGAAAAAAGATGGGAGAAAAGTCAAAAAGACTGATATAAGGTTTTTTAAAGATATATTAAAAGGTCCTCTATTATACTGTTTCTCATCAATATATCACAGGTCTCAGATATATACAGAACATGTCTCTGATTGGCTGAAACACCAAACAGATCATTGCAGCATTACCCATAATCCCCTCTGTTTCAGCCCTGTTTCCAAAGTGCTGCTTCTCTGTCTGTTACTTTAGATGAAAATAAGGAGCCCCTCCCCACGCCCCTCTGAGAGACATTTGGTTACAAAGAACTCAATGGAGCTCTAGGAGGAGATTCAGGTGATAAGGGGAGGGGGGTACCTTGGTTGCTGATTGGCTAATGGTTACACAAGACAACACATCGTTATGACATCATAAAGTGACCAAAATCTGATCAGCTCATTTTCAGACAGGTTTTTATAGAAATGGATCAAAAAGAGAGAGAATCTTTGTTCCTGAAACTTTCAGGGTCTCTTTCCACAGAGGGGACACATGTTGATGTAGAAGAGACATGAAGAAGAGGGGACACATATTGATGTAGAAGAGACATGAAGAAGAGGGGACACATGTTGATGTAGAAGAGACATGAAGAAGAGGGGACACATGTTGATGTAGAAGAGACATGAAGAAGAGGGGACACATGTTGATGTAGAAGAGACATGAAGAAGAGGGGACACATGTTGATGTAGAAGAGACATGAAGAAGAGGGGACACATGTTGATGTAGAAGAGACATGAAGAAGAAGGGACACATGTTGATGTAGAAGAGACATGAAGAAGAGGGGACACATGTTGATGTAGAAGAGACATGAAGAAGAGGGGACACATGTTGATGTAGAAGAGACATGAAGAAGAGGATTTTGCACAATAGGTGACCTTTAAATAAAATGTCGCTGTGGCAGAAGAAAGTAAACTTACATCGTTCTCGCTCTCGAAAAGGACCTGATCGTACTCGCTGAGCGCCGCCAGGAAGATGATGGTCTTGACGTTTTCAAAGCAGTGGATCCACTTCCTCCTCTCAGAACGCTGCCCCCCCACATCCACCATCCTGAAAGAGACACACAGTCAAATATTAAAATAATGAAAGATTATTAAAGGAATAGTTCTCTAAGTTGAGATGCCCATTTGGCTTTTGCCAAGAGATGGATGCTTAATATGAAGCTGTAGATTGGCTCAGCATAAATACTAGAAACAACAAAAAACTAAACGCACACTAATTATTATGTCATGTGATAAATGGAATGTGCTTATAAGTGAGCTATTAGCTTTTAGCATGCTAAAATATGCTAATCGACCTGCTGATTTCATAGTTAACCCGTAAGTAAAGTTTATTTATAAAGCGCTTTTCACAGACAAAGTGCTTGACAAAACAATAAGACATCCACATAGATCAGTGTTTCTCAAACTTTTTCATACCAAGGTCCACTTAACCAATAAAAAAACACTCGCGGACCACCTAACTCCACAAATATCCAAAATCACATCGTTTTTCTAGAACAGATTACAAATCGCCTGAAAATGGTACAAACAAGTGGCAGCAAGTGGGATGAAGGTGTTGCGCTGGGCTATATCATGCAATCGAAATTGAAACTTTAGCGCGCTCCATTGCGGAGATATTCCCGCGAGAATGCGGAAAACTTAAATTTATTTATTTATTTCAAATGTGAAATGTTACCAATAGACTCGTGGACCACTAGGGGGCGCTCACGGACCACCAGTGGTCCGCGGACCACACTTTGAGAAGCACTGAATAGAACTACCTAACGTAATGATCAATGAACCCACATGTTAAGAAGTCATAAAAGCACCAGAGCATGAAAGACATGACGGTGGTATTTTCTCCTACAATACTTGGAAAAGCTTTGTCTTTGTCTTAATGTGTTGTAGCTCCAAAATGTTGCACCAGTTCCTTGAGAGAAAAACATTGTCAGAAACTTGGGATGCAATTATTTGTGTGTTTCTTTAGACAGAGAATTAAAACAAATTCACCATCTGTCATTGACTGTCATTGACCGCAGCCTTAGTCTCATTCAAACTGGTTATTAGGATCTGCTGCTAAAGTTTAAGTTACAAAGTGATATTGTTTTCGTATTTAGTTTTTGTTTTCTGGCAATAAACGTTCAAGAGCAATCAATCGAAATGTCCAGTGGATTTTTTTACTGCGAGTCTGACACTGCTTCCCAGCCCCAAGCTCTCCATGTAGAAAAGAAACATTTGAAATAAGGAGTTACAAGACAAACTGATTTTAGGCCACATGCATAGTTCATGGTAATGGGGTAACGATAGCCTACCTGAAGATGATCTTATTGAACTGATGTGAAATGTCGAAGGGGTATTCGATGATGCCGGTGGTGGGGACCCTGACCCTCAAGATGTCCTGAACATCGGGGATAAACGACCGGGTTGTGATTCTGTCCAAGTCGGTCAGGTAACTGAGGAGTGAAAAAACAAAGCATTCACACTTAACATCCTGCTTGGATACGTCTATGCTTTTTCCCACTTTAGATGTAAGAACGGCCACTACTGCATCGATGGAGCTCCATGAGACTGCTTAATGCAGGGGTTCCCAACCTTTTTTCCCAAGAGCCCCCCCAAATGACTCCTGTCGGAAGTTGCGCCCCCCACCCCAAACACACACACAAGGGGGGGCGGGGTAATTAAAGTTTAAAAGTCTCAAAATGCTACAACTACTGTCACAAACTGGATGAATGTGAAGTATTTTGTTAAAGGAGGACGAAAGCGTAATTAAGGAGCACTATTGGAGTGACTTTGATGGTTATTGGACTCAGGATTAATTCATTTGGATTCCCGCTGTATGAAGAAATTAAAGGACGGCACAAGTGGAAACAATTCACAAAGGGATTAAACTGTCTAAAACACATGCTCAAAGTAAGCCGGATTTTGCCGATGTGTTTATGTGGATTCAAAAGTCGTAAATAATCTACAAAATGGAGGAGACCAATCTGATCGGAGCAACTGACAAATAATCCAACTGAAACCGGCATGGACAATGACTGTGTTTTAAAAATGCGCTTATCCAGACAAGCCCGGTTTGGACACTTTACGAGCAGAAGAAACATTTCTATAGAAAGAATTATACATTTCTGTCTTTTTATGCCTTTAATACTAACTTGAATTTTTATTAAAATTAATTTATCAATTATTTTTTATATTTGATTGTAATGTAGAGACAAGGCTTTTAGTGACAATCATGTATTGCGTTACAATTATATGTAAAAAAAATAAAATATGATATTTGGCCTCAAATAATCTGCGGCCTGGCGCCCCCCCCCCTGCGATCGTTGGGAACCACTGGCTTAATGGATGTATAAAGAGAACGTTGACATCCCCATGTTAACAACACTCAAGTAATATCATGTCTAATCTAAGTCGATGAATTTGATCGATTCATTAACCTTAATAAGCAGCTAATGGCATTGCCATCAGTGCAAGCTATGCTGTAGAAACAGCGTAGGTGTAGGGCAAGCAGAATATTTACGATAATCAAAAAGTAGTTGGAAAGACAATCTAAACAAACAAGCTATAAGGCTACAGATTGTTTGCGAGAATTTCTTCTTAACATTCATGGTGAATAATTTAAAGATGAATGAACATTTACTCAGCTCTGATCGATGACAAATGACCATGAAGATACTCTACGGAGCGACTGGAGCTGTCAAATTCATATTTCGTGGGTTTAAAACACCAAAAGTGATGCTCTGACGCTGCGTCAATGCTTTCGTCATGACGTAGTTGCCGCGGTCAAATCTAAACTGTGTTGGAAAAACAATAGATGCTGCCTGCCTACTTCTTTACTTTTACTTGAGTAAAGAAGTTTAGTCAGTACTTCTACCAGAGTATTTTTAAACATGAGTATCTGTACTTCTACTTGAGGAAAGGATGTGTGTACTTTTGCCATCTCTAAGTATATTAAGGTCTTACTATTTGGCAGAGTCTGATAACTGGAACTCCCTCCGGCGGTCGTAGCACCTCTGAACACCTCGGTCGCTCCACACGCTCTTAACGGCCTCCGTCTGCCAAGCCTCCAAAGTGAGAACCTGGTCGTCCTCCACCTGGCTCAGCTTCTGTGCATGGCTCTGAGAGAGAGAGGACACACACACACACACACACACACACACACACACACACACACACACACACACACACACACACACACACACACACACACACACACACACACACACACACACACACACACACACACACACACACACACACACACACACACACACACACACACACACACACACACACACACACACACACACACACACACACACAGACACACACACACACACACACACACACACACACACACACACACACACACACACACACACACACACACACACACACACACACACACACACACACACACACACACCATTTAACTGACTTATTAATAGACGAGTACCGGATAGCTTCTCTTGGACAACTGGACTTAAAGGTCCCCTATTAAGCAAAATCCACTTCTTCATGTCTCTTCTACATCAACATGTGTCCCCTCTTCTTTATGTCTCTTCTACATCAACATGTGTCCCCTCTTCTTCATGTCTCTTCTACATCAACATGTGTCCCCTCTTCTTCATGTCTCTTCTACATCAACATGTGTCCCCTCTTCTTCATGTCTCTTCTACATCAACATGTGTCCCCTCTTCTTCATGTCTCTTCTACATCAACATGTGTCCCCTCTTCTTCATGTCTCTTCTACATCAACATGTGTCCCCTCTTCTTCATGTCTCTTCTACATCAACATGTGTCCCCTCTTCTTCATGTCTCTTCTACATCAACATGTGTCCCCTCTTCTTCATGTCTCTTCTACATCAACATGTGTCCCCTCTGTGGAAAGAGACCCTGAAAGTTTCAGGAACAAAGATTCTCTCTCTTTTTCTCCTAATCCATTTCTATAAACCATTAGCCAATCAACAACCAAGGTAACCCCCCCCCCCCCCCCCCCTTATCACCTGAATCTCCTCCTAGAGCACCATTGAGTTCTTTGTAACCAAATCTCTCTCAGAGGGGCGTGGGGAGGGGCTCCTTGTTTTCATCTAAAGTAACAGACAGAGAATCTGCACTTTGGAAACAGGGCTGAAACAGAGGGGATTATGGGTAATGCTGCAATGATCTGTTTGGTGTTTCAGCCAATCAGAGACATGCTCTGTATATATCTGAGACCTGTGATATATTGATGAGAAACAGTTTGATCGGGGACCTTTAAACCCAGCAGTTTCTCACAATGTTCTGGTTGTCGTCGTAGTCGATCTGCAGCGTCTTCATGGCGCTGATCAGCGCCTTGACGGCCGTGATGATGTTCTGATGCACGAGGCGAGTGAAGCCTTTCCTGTCAGCTTCACTGTATCCAGCGCCATGAAGGATCCTCATCTGTTTGATGAAAGTGCTCTTCCCACTTTCACCAGTCCCTAGGCAAATGAGATGAACGAGATGGATGAGAAATGGAATCAGATCAAAGCGACGCCAGAAATAGGACAAACACTTACAAATAAAATCAGCCAAACATCAATCAGCTGTAGCTCAACAGGATTTCGGCAAACAAAAACAACAAGTTATTTAATTAACAATAGAAGAATACTTTTAGATGTTCATGTTTCAGAGGTATATATTTACCCCCGAGGCTATAGAGGTGAGTGGGTGCATTTATACTTCAAGTGTGTGCATCTGCCAACCTTTCATTTGTTTCTATAAAACACTCCAAAGCTAATCTGATTACTCACTTGGATATAAGAGCAAATAGGTGTCATTTAAATGCACTTACATCCATGGCAAATCATACAAACGATAAAAACCTACATAAAAGAGACAAGACATGCAACATCAATGAATAAAAAGGAACACTTGGGTTGGGTTTGATCCGTGCAAGTTAATCAGCCACTATGTAATTCCTCTGGATAAGAGTCAGCTAAGCCAACAAAATGCCTCAAAACGTTAACCATTAGACCTTTAGCGGCGGAAATCCAACCTCCAAACTTGAGCTGAAGTTTAAAAGAGCGCTGACCTTTAAACAGTCATTCATGTGTAATGCATTGTTTTCAACATAACCAAAGTGGCTGTTTTGATAGTTAAAAATCAGGCCGTCTGTGAAGCTTGATTTAATAAGACGGCTGTATACTGATCATCGTAGCTGTCCAATGAAATGATTATCTTTTAATGTCCTGCACTGAGCATTTCTAACCTATATGTATTTTGCATATGCATGTTCCCTTCAATAGTGTTTTATTGTCAGTTTATAGATTGTTTTATCTTCACAGCCGACTGTATATTTTCTACTTTTTAATGCTGCTTTAATACCATTTTTTTTATTTTAGTATTGTTTATTTCTACTCTTACATTTATGCAATGCCTAGTTTTTTTTTTTTTATGCTGCTGCAACGCAAACATTTCCCAAATTGGGAACAATAAAGTACCTCTTATATTATCTCAATGCATGTAGACGAATCAGACAAATGCTAAAAAGTTGCATGCATGGGTTAGGGTTGACCGAGCATGACCCTTTACGGCTATGTGAGGAATGCAGAAGGAACCGATAACTACTTCAAAACAACAACAACAATTCATTCAAAGCCTGCTATCTATTGATCCAGATACTTTTGTATTTGTCAGCTCAAGCCAACAATGACTTGCAGTTTAATGATACAGTCTGAGGTCAGTCCACCACTTTTAGATCATGAGGACATACTTCTGTTTTTGTTGCAACAACTTTTAGATGGATTGTCAAGCAAAGTTAAATCTGATTATCCTTCATTTTCTTTAAAATATGTGACGTAGATATATTTCATTTCATTTTTATTTGTCCCGCTCATGGTACGCAAAACCAAATGTACAATAATTGCCACAAAACATGACTCTACCATTGAGCGAAAAGGAGCAGGGAGAAGAATAACATCTTATGTGACCTGGCCCTTTCTAAAACAAACAAATAAATACAAATATATGGTCTGCCCTTCATAATAATACTTTTTTTTTTTCACAGCCAAACATAACAGTATCTTAGGATACTACGAGAAACACACAAAAAATACTTATTTCCCACTCGACGGTTAACGGAAAGAAACAAAACACCAAAACATCACATGAAAAGAAAAGTGCAACACCCTCATCTGAGTCCTACTGGAGAAGAAGGTGGAAAGCGACGCATGATGATAATAATAATAATAACAATAACAACAATAACAATGGGACCCGCAAATACTGAGGAGACATCACATCAAAGACTTCAAAAACATGAAGGACCAGAGTACACAGACTTATTCACATTCTGCTTCATATAGTCCCATCTTTCTTCATTTATACAACTTCTTTAACTGAAAAATACAAATACAATTCTTTAGATCCTTGTGTTGAGAATTCCACAATTGTACACCAACTACCGAAATACACATTTGTTTAAGAGTAGTTCTTGCATATGGATGCTTAACATTTAATTTCCTTCTGTGGTCAACTTCCTTGTCTGATCCAAAAACAAACAACTGTTGTAAATATGTAACATTCTGCTTGTTGCCCTGTGCATTACTGATAATGCACAGGGCAACAAGCAGAATGTTACCAGCATATTTACAACAGTTAATATATAGATATTATGATGGTGTTTTTATTATATGTGCACCATATTTAGATAGATAGATAGATAGACAGAGAGAGAGAGAGAGAGAGAGAGAGAGAGAGATAGATAGATAGATAGATAGATAGATAGATAGACGGATGGATAGATAGGTAGATATATGGGTAGAGAGAGAGAGAGAGAGAGAGAGAGAGAGATAGATAGATAGATAGATAGACGGATGGATAGATATATGGAGAGAGAGAGAGAGAGAGAGAGAGAGACGGATGGATAGATATATGGGTAGAGAGAGAGAGAGAGAGAGAGAGATACTTTATTGACACATTTGGCCAAATAGAGCAAATGCAATGCAACAACAGAACTAGCCAAACATTTACCGCCATCCCCCTTTCAGTGCCACGTTCTGAACATGTTATTATGTTACCTGTTAAACAGCATGTTAGCATAGTCATTGTTAGCATGTTAGCTTGCTGATGTTAAAATGTAGCTTTAAGCACTCAAACAGCAGGCTAGACAATGCAGCCACAATTCTTATAATTAAAATAATAATATCTAAAAATGACAGTGCTACAATTGTCACAACACGATGTTCTCCTTTTACAGGAACATTTTAGTTTAGCTAGTAACATTACAAAGAAAATACATGTTTGAGTAAAGGCGTTTTTTTTCAGTTTTGCCAAGCAACAAAACTGTTGTGGTTAAAACATTGAATTCACCTGAGCTGTAACCATGTGGTAACACATGACACTTTTAAAGTCACTTTATAGGCAACATTGAAATGCAGAGGTGGGACGTAAATATGAAATGAACCTCCTTTTCACTTATATTAATATGATATTATGATGTAAGGTTCAGTTAGCGTTGCACAAAAACAGCCAGTTTAAAAGTAACTTAACTTTTAGTACATTTCAGAGAATGTACTTTTACTTAAGTAAAAAGTTGAATCAGTACTTCTACTTTTACCAAAGTCTTTTTTTACACAAGTATCAGTACTACTTAAGTAAAGAGAGTGTGTAATTTTGCCACCTCTGCTTAAATGGAAATATCCATATTTCAAGGGAATATTTTAGTTTACGTGTCTCAGAAGATGACTGGTAGTTAATTAGTTCCCATTAATGTTAGTGGCAGTGTAAAACGTGTTGGAAGTTCTTTAAGAAACTCACCCAAAAGCAGCAGCTTCACCTCATTGTGAGACTTATGTTTATCTTGTCGAAGTTGCCTCTCTATTTCTTTGTGCACCCTGAGGTTCTGCGTCTCCTCCTCAGACAGGCAGCACTCCATTGTTGTAAAAGTCCACAAACTGCACCACAGCTGACAGGGAGCAGAGAGGAAGAGGATTGGGAAATGATTTTAGTTTCGGGGGAAAGGCTTCTGTCCCACAACAGGTGGATTGGCGACTTTCCGCAGGCATTCTTCCTCGTACCGGATCCAGTTCAGGTGCATTCCACATTCCTGAGGATGGGCGGACAGGAACCGAGCTGAAAGTTATGTAAATGTGGACAGAACTATATGGAAAGCCAGCAGTGCCATAATATGCAAGTTTTTCTCTATAAAGTATACAAATAAATTGAAAAAGTGGAGTTTATGGCACTGTTGGCTTTCCGTACTACAGGTCAATACTGCCATGAGCATATCAAATCATTTTAAAGAGTCCCTGTCACTAACCTGTTCTTCTACTGTGACTCATAAACACTATCATTAAACTGAAGTTAGGTTCCTCCAAAGTACATTTCACCTGTCAAAACTTGGCAAAGGAGTAGGAAAAATTATCCTGCCTGTTTTGTAGTCATTAACTCTGCGAAGAAAACGATTTCATAGAAACAATCAGACATAGAAAATGGACCACAAGAGTCTGTGTACAGTTATAAATGTGCCAGGCTTGAAACTTCAAAAACCTAAAATCCTGTGTAAAAACATGGAAGTTTGAAAGAAGTGGGACAGCATTTTTTAGCTTCTGCTGTATTTTACTGTTATTTAAAGCGGCTCATTTACTGGTGTATATCAGTATGAAGTGTCTCTACTTTAAAGAGTCCTCTCCTTCTGATGTTCAGGTGTATATCAGTATGAAGTGTCTCTACTTTAAAGAGTCCTCTACTGCTGATGTTCAGGTGTATATCAGTATGTAGTGTCTCTACTTTAAAGAGTCCTCTCCTGCTGATGTTAGGTGTATATCAGTATGTAGTGTCTCTACTATAAAGAGTCCTCTCCTGCTGATGTTAGGTGTATATCAGTATGAAGTGTCTCTACTTTAAAGAGTCCTATCCTGCTGATGTTCAGGTGTATATCAGTATGAAGTGTCTCTACTTTAAAGAGTCCTCTCCTGCTGATGTTCAAGTGTATATCAGTATGAAGTGTCTCTACTTTAAAGAGTCCTCTCCTGCTGATGTTCAGGTGTATATCAGTATGTAGTGTCTCTACTTTAAAGAGTCCTCTCCTGCTGATGTTCAGGTGTATATCAGTATGTAGTGTCTCTACTGGGACATGTCTCCATGCTATAATGTTCAAATATTTTTCGCATACTGCTGCAGCACCTCTTTTCACCCGTCCCGCCCCTTAGCCTATCACGTACAATGTATTGGAGCACTAGCCAATAAAAGCACAGAATGTTACATAATAATGTCACTATGTTCCGAAGTAAACAAAGGAGTCCAATGGAGGCCTTTGCAGACCATTTACATTCACAAAAACCTATATAACACACTTCAGGAGAGGTAATACCCGAACAAAAATCATAATTGGGTATCTTTTGTTAGTAAACACGTAGAAGCATGTTTCTATACTACCTTACACTACAGTAGTCACTCTAGGAGCACATCTAGCAATGACTGACACACACAACTTGTCGTGTGCTGCTGCCACATTACATTCGGTGTTTGTCCTCAACAGTGGCGAGCCGTGACTTTTATACCTAGGCCCTCTGACGCCCCGTCAAAAATAAAAAGAAAAAAAAAAGAGTTATTACGTCACAGCGTATACTTCAGCGGAATATCAAATCAACGGCCCGGGGTGCAAAACGCATCAATGACAGCGACCCTCTACCACACAGAACAACACCTGTAGATAACCCTATCTGTGTTCTATGAAAGTGAAGAGGATATTGCATTGTGTTTGTTACTTTCGTTGCAGTTGTATGTCTTAAGTGTAATTTGGCATGCTTTTATTTTGAAGGCGAGTTTACGCTGTCGACAGGAAGTTGTTGCTGCTATGGAAACAAGAAAAGCTTCACAGCGGGCGAAATTGTCATAAAGTCCGCAATAATAAAACACACCCATTTATAGGGAAGATATGATTGGTCAATTGTACTGTATTGACATTACTCTCTCGTTCAGTTACTATAGCCCCTCTGTGAATTCATAGCTGGACGTCCAATCAGCTCCCGTCTTCACAGTAACTCGCAGAGACGGCTCAAGGAGCTTCTTTCATTTAACCCTTCACATTCAATTGATTTCTTTGGAAATGTTATTCTAAATACAATTAAATCAAGTTATTTTGGTAAAACTAATGTAAAATATAATTTAAAAAATATTTTTTAAAAATACACGATTTTTTAAAATGTTTTTAAATATTATTTTGTAGAATATCTTAGGCCTAGAGGGCCCTGACGGCTCGCCACTGGTCCTCAAAAAAGTTGTTTTTACTGCTGAAGCTATGGACCTCAACAGAAGCCAGATGGATTTCCCACAGAGGAGATTTGGAGAACAGCAGAGCTCCAGATGAGCCAGCGGAGAGCCGCCAAAAGACAAACACTCCAAAGCTAAACCCACAGTGTGCTAGAGCTGGGCTGTAAACACAGACGGAGAATGAAAAACTGAGCAGCAAATGTGTGTTTATTTATCCAATCGCATCAAATACATGCACTAAGAATGCGATAAGCGACAGAAAAACCTGAAATCATACCAAATTAGGCAGTTATTATTTCTAACTGAAGAGTTATGTAAACTTTAGTGCAGTGGAAACTCTCTTATTAGCTTTTTGTTCATGCATTTGGTACCTTTGAAAAGCAAAAGATGAATGCATCAGATAGTATTGAACATAACAGTTCTCTCTTTCAGCATGTTAACACTGACCTTGATGCGAGTAAAGGTGAAAATGTGCACCATTAATGTACCGTGTGATATTTACAAAATGCATACAGATAAATACTAGGGCAAGTTCATTTAAGTGATGATTCTATGGCAATAAAAACAATCATTAGTACCTGAAACACTGGATTCTCAAGTTTCAACAAAATAAAAACTTGTGTGTTAAATCACATTTAAATATGTTAACACTAAGCTGCTCTAAAAAGTGGTTTAAGATTAATGCCATCATTGGAAATGAAGAGACCCAACAAAGTGAAGTACACAACATAATATCAGAACAAATAGCAATGCAATAACGTGTGTCATTGGTATGGTGGCCTACAGGTCCAAACCTGCTGCAGCTTCAGAAACAAAAACACATGAAGAAACATCTTCAGCAAGTTGTGGAAACATGTGCAGCGTTTCCTAAAAGATGCATAAACCAAACACTGCAAGAAGCTCAAAACACAACGGAACCAGGGGACACTAAAGAGTGACGCACACAGGTGGGAGACCAGGGGACACTAAAGAGTGACGCACACAGGTGGGAGACCAGGGGACACTAAGAGTGACGTACACAGGTGGGAGACCAGGGGACACCAAAGAGTGATGTACACAGGTGGGAGACCAGGGGACACTAAAGAGTGACGTACACAGCTGGGAGACCAGGGGACACTAAAGAGTGACGCACACAGCTGGGAGACCAGGGGACACTAAAGAGTGACGCTACACAGCTGGGAGACCAGGGGACACTAAAGAGTGATGTACACAGTGGAGACCAGGGGACACTAAAGAGTGACGTACACAGCTGGGACCAGGGTGACACTAAAGAGGACGCACACAGCTGGGAGACCAGGGGACACTAAAGAGTGACGCACACAGCTGGGAGACCAGGGGACACTAAAGAGTGACGCACACAGCTGGGAGACCAGGGGACACTAAAGAGTGACGCACACAGGTGGGAGACCAGGGGACACTAAAGAGTGACGCACACAGCTGGGAGACCAGGGGACACTAAACATTTCAGGATTATAAAGCTGAACAACTGTCTCTGTCGTTGGAAACTTCCCTAAAATGTTGTATGGTCTTATTTTAACAATGTGATCACATGACTCCTTCTGGTGTTACTGCAGATCTGCTGTAAGCTAGCTAGCTAACGTAGCTAACCTAGTCATTTCAGATATACTGACAAACACTTCCAGTTATGAGACAGACTATGGTCTCCCAGCTGTGTGCGTCACTCTTTAGTGTCCCCTGGTCTCCCAGCTGTGTGCGTCACTTTTTAGTGTCCCCTGGTCCCCTGGTTTGGGCTTCTTGCAGCGTTTCGTATTTGCACATTTTAGTAAACGCTGCGCATGTGTATTTTTTACTTGCATTGTTTCTAAAGCCTTAGCGTGTTACTTCTAATGTAAATATGATGTGCCGTTGAAGCGCGTTCGTACCTCTCGGCCACCGTACTTTAGTGTTAATTATTACCCATTAGGTTTCGACACATCTAAACGTTTAGAGTATTTAACAGTTTTTAAGTTAAAAAGAAATAAACTGGGGTTAGTGGTGAGAGGTGCTGCTTGCAGAGTCTCGTGTTCCCTGAAGGAGAGACCCATCTCAAGTCCTCGGAGGCTTTTTGAGGCCATGGAAATACTTTTTTCTCCTCTCAAAGAGCTCCATATATTTCAGAGTGCACACTATAATAGACTGCTCACTAAGGCAGCACTTTAATTGTCAGGACACACTTCATTATAGCTGCAGACATCCATTCTGAAAGAGCCTAACAGGGGACATTTGAAATACATCAGTAGTACAGTCGTTTGGCGGCGTGCTCTGCGGCTTCTCAGTTTTCCTGTTGTGGATTATAGTGTTCGGCAGCAGCAGGAGTTTGCAGAGCTCGCAGCAGGCTGTACGAAAGCAGATTGAATTATAGCGTTTACACCAGGTTGTAGACTTCCAGGTTGATTTGCAAGATGTAGTCCTTCACCGCTCTGAAGACAAATCGAATGTTGTTTGTGTCTGTGGCGCAGGTGCAGTGGGAGTAGATGACTTTCTTCTCGTTCGGATTGAGACTGACAAACATATTTAAGATGAATTCTTTCCCCGCTTTCACATCCCGTTGAGGACCTGGTGGGAAGAGACAGAAAAGTGTAGATAAAAGTCTATCAATAAAGCGCAAGAGTATAACAGCAGCTAGAGGTTTTGAAAGAGGGAATAACACAAAGAAGAAAAGGTACATCCAAAAGCAATAAGACACACCTTTGATTATTTTCTAAAGATTGGTAAAGTAATGACGTATTTTTGTTAGGCCGGCGCTCCCTCCGCAAAAAGCCAATTGGATATTTCCATTGGATTATTATCTCTCATTTATGATATGTACACGTTTTGTTCAGCAGGATAATCTCCACATGTTAACATCACTTTATGATTTCTGAAATAAAAATCGAATATTGGGCTATAAAGGAACTACAGCACGGTCACATGACTTCACCTCACCACCGCTAAGCTAAAGGTGGCTAATGTTGGGCTATAAAGTAACTACAGCACGTCACATGACTTCACGTCACCACCGCTAAGCTAAAGGTGGCTAATGTTGGGCTATAAAGGAACTACAGCACGTCACATGACTTCACCTCACCACCGCTAAGCTAAAGGTGGCTAATGTTGGGCTATAAAGGAACTACAGCACGGTCACATGACTTCACCTCACCACCGCTAAGCTAAAGGCGGCTAATGTTAGGCTATAAAGGAACTACAGCATGGTCACATGACTTCATGTCACCACCGCTAAGCTAAAGCTGGCTAATGTTGGGCTATAAAGGAACTACAGCACGTCACATGACTTCACCTCACCACCGCTAAGCTAAAGGCGGCTAATGTTGGACTATAAAGGAACTACAGCACGGTCACATGACTTCACCTCACCACCGCTAAGCTAAAGCTGGCTAATGTTGGGCTATAAAGGAACAACAGCACGGTCACATGACTTCACCTCACCACCGCTAAGCTAAAGCTGGCTAATGTTGGGCTATAAAGGAACAACAGCACGGTCACATGACTTCACGTCACCACCGCTAAGCTAAAGGCGGCTAATGTTAGGCTGTAAAGGAACTACAGCACGGTCACATGACTTCACGTCACCACCGCTAAGCTAAAGGCGGCTAATGTTGGGCTATAAAGGAACTACAGCACGATCACATGACTTCACGTCACCACCGCTAAGCTAAAGGCGGCTAATGTTGGGCTGTAAAGGAACTACAGCACGGTCACATGACTTCACGTCACCACCGCTAAGCTAAAGGCGGCTAATGTTGGGCTATAAAAGGAACTACAGCACGGTCACATGACTTCACGTCACCACCGCTAAGCTAAAGCTGGCTAATGTTGGGCTATAAAGGAACTACAGCACGTCACATGACTTCACCTCACCACCGCTAAGCTAAAGGTGGCTAATGTTGGGCTATAAAGGAACTACAGCACGTCACATGACTTCACCTCACCACCGCTAAGCTAAAGGCGGCTAATGTTAGGCTATAAAGGAACTACAGCATGGTCACATGACTTCATGTCACCACCGCTAAGCTAAAGGTGGCTAATGTTGGGCTATAAAGGAACTACAGCACGGTCACATGACTTCACCTCACCACCGCTAAGCTAAAGGCGGCTAATGTTGGGCTATAAAGGAACTACAGCACGGTCACATGACTTCACCTCACCACCGCTAAGCTAAAGCTGGCTAATGTTGGGCTATAAAGGAACAACAGCACGGTCACATGACTTCACGTCACCACTGCTAAGCTAAAGGCGGCTAATGTTGGGCTGTAAAGGAACTACAGCACGGTCACATGACTTCACGTCACCACCGCTAAGCTAAAGGCGGCTAATGTTGGGCTATAAAGGAACTACAGCACGATCACATGACTTCACGTCACCACCGCTAAGCTAAAGGCGGCTAATGTTGGGCTGTAAAGGAACTACAGCACGGTCACATGACTTCACGTCACCACCGCTAAGCTAAAGGCGGCTAATGTTGGGCTATAAAAGGAACTACAGCACGGTCACATGACTTCACGTCACCACCGCTAAGCTAAAGGCGGCTAATGTTGGGCTATAAAGGAACTACAGCTCCTTAAATATCAAATTGAAGGACTTTTCAAGGCCTCATTCCCTAAAATACAAGGACGACACAGTGTAGTTTCAGAGGCACATCTTTTATGAATTTCTTCTACATAAAATAAAATAATAAAATAGTGCAAGTGATGAAAGATGTCCGTTAATCTAGTTTGAATATTTATATAATAATAATAATAATAATATATAATATTTTTATAGCGCCTTTCAGGAAACCCAAGGTCGCTTTACAAGTCGGGTAGGGGGGGGGGGGAGTAGGGGAAAAAAGGCAGACAGGTTAAGGGGGTGGGGGGGGAAGTAGCGGAAAAATAAACCTATTAAACTAACTATACAGTGGCGAAAGCCTTGGTAAAAAGGTGCGTTTTGAGGGCTTTTTTGAAAATGTCCAGGGTTGGGGCGCTGCGGATTTCGGGGGGAGAGAGTTCCAGAGGGTGGGGGATGTCACACTGAAGGCTCTGTCACCAAAAGTCCGCAACCTGGTGCGGGGGGTGGAGAGGAGATCCTGTCCAGATGATCTTAGCTTCCGGGATGGAGTGTGGTAGCGGAGAAGGTCAGACAGGTATTGGGGGGCGATGGCATGATATGATATGATATGTGGTTAGATCCTAAAGTGACAATACTTCTATTTATAATGAATAAATGTGTCAGTAGTTTAGAGAATCAAATTAAAAAGGGAATTTCATTGAAACACATCAAATACTCTTACCGTCATACTCGGGGAAGTAGTCGACCAGGTGAGAGTACATGATCTTGTCCTCCAGCAGGTCGATCTTGTTGAGGAACAGCATGACGGAGGAGCGGTGGAACCACTTGTAGTTGATGATGGTGCGGAACAACGCCATGCTCTCCTCCATGCGGTTCTACGAGCAAACACACAACAAAACAACTGAACACATGCACAAAATACTGATTGAGCTAATTCAATGTGTGTGTAATGTCATCAGTGAGGGGTGCAGAACAGAGCGACTCAAGAGCTCCCCCTGCAGGCGGACAGGGATTATTCTGCAGAGGAGGGTGGAGGAGAGATCTACAGTGTAGATATGTCAATGAAAAACTGAAGTCACAGGCTCCTCCAACAGTGTAACATATATAAAGAACAAATAAATCATAACACAGGTAAAATAGTGAATGTTATATTCAAATAAAATAGAAATAATGCAAGAAGAGTCTATATACAAGTAAATGGAATGAGAGGTTCATCAATGTTTCCCCAGATTTAATTCGACCACATAGCATTAACTATAACCACGTATAGTTGTTGGTTGTCATAGTAATTACTCCTTCAATGCTGTATGTCATTATGGTCATGCCAATAAAGCTGAATTTGAATTTGAGAGAGATCAGATGAGTGCAGCACTCTATATTTACTTCTATACAGCATAGTTTGGAAATGAAACTCTTAAGTATATTATTAGATAAAATGGATAAAATAAAAATAAATACAAATGTAATTTTAAAAAAAAGATTAAAATCAAAAAAATGGTGCCAGAGATGAAAAAGAAATCCATTAATCTGGTTTTCTATGAATGAAATTATATTCTCTAAATTATATATTTTTTTGTTCTTATCATTTGGAAGACATGTTATCGGCAAATACAGTGAAACCACAGAAACCGCATTTTTTTGTTCTGTGCTCTCTGAATTATTTCCCCGGCTGTATATTAGTAATAAGGGTCTCACCTCGTTGACGGACTCCACCAGCACCTGGTCGTACTCGCTGAGCGCCACCAGGAAGATGATGGACGTCACTTCCTCAAAACAGTGAATCCACTTCCTCCTCTCCGACCGCTGCCCCCCCACATCCACCATCCTATACACACACACACACACACACACACACACACACACACACACACACACACACACACACACACACACACACACACACAACACACACACACACACACACACACACACACACACACACACACACACACACCACACACACACACACACACACACACACACACACACACACACACACACACACACACACACACACACACACACACACACACACACACACACACACACACACACACACACACACACACACACACACACACCCACACACACACACACACACACACACACACACACACACACACACACACACACACACACACACACACACACGGTATTTTTGTCGGCCCACCCTGAAGGAAGCTGCTGGTTCCCTCGACAAAAAAGCAACGGGATTTCTCCATAGGATTTTGGAATATTGTAAAAAATAAGGTCTGTGGAAAATGAACCACGTTTTGTTCATCCGAATAATCTCCACATGTCTACCCGACTTTTATAATTTTCCAATCATAAATCTAATGTCCAGAAGCAAAATGCTAACGTTATGCTATAAAGGAACTACAGGCGAGTTCAGCAGCACGACTTCAACGTCACGCCAACTTAAGATCCATATTCAAACACACAGATTCTAAATGGTACGAGTTGAAGCGTTAGTTTTAACAGTTTGCAGGAGGCAGGGACTTGCTTTCAAGCAGAACAGGGCAAAGTAACTTAGAGGAGTGTTTACGTGTTCGGTGTAATGACGTACAACGTCCTGGACAACTTCTGTAGTCCTATTCAGCCACTTGGTAACAACCAGGGACGTGCACAGGTACGGGCTAATGTTGCCCGGGCAACAGTCCGTTTGCCATTTCTGTCTGACCTGCCCCTCTGGAGAGAGCGAGAGTTGTTTTTTCTATTGTGGCCGAATCAACATGATGAGCCCACAATTAGTATTGTAGCGTCTCGCTGCGGGAAACACACTTTGTCAGCCCCAAGTCACGTGACTTTGTTTACAATCTGACAGCTGGAAGCAAAGGAATGCCCTCCGGCCTCATATGGCTATGGTGATCGAACCAAATGCCTGCCTGGCGTTAGAGTATAGGGGACAAACCAGGGGATTTTACTTCCTCTTGACACCGTCGGTTGATTACAAAATAAAAACACCTAAATATGTTATTGTGCTTCTGTCTTTCTCATCTGTAAACTCCTCAACGGGCCGCTCTCTCTCTTTTCTTGATCGCCCTCTCACAGGAGAACACTTCACTGTCCCGCTTCATTTTAGGATTTCTGCCATGTCTCTACTTCAGTTTGACCATCTCTGTTATTAAGTTATGGAATACTAAATAAATAAGTAATTACCGTTACTGCGCTCATAAAGAATGGTAAGAATAAGAATAACGCGTATTGAACTGGGAGGCCCTTTTTCCAGTTTAGAGCAATAGCCGCTCCAAATGTCTGTGCGCGTCCCTGGTAACAACCATCGTTTTTCAGACACGGAAACTTAAGTGGTTAAAAGCTGACCCCCCAACATACAATGTATGGACTCAGAAGGTGTGGGAAATCTATCAGATGGGGCAAATAACACATTCTCTGAGGATTGAGGATCCAGACAGAAATATTTATTAAAAAGGTGGAGTCCTGCCACATCTGTGTAGATCCAGTAAGCCCTTATGGTTTTCCCAAATCTTCTGAACAGAAACACGGGGAAATGTGTGACAGTTGCATCATATTAGATTAAAATATAAAGATAGAGACACTGACTTATAATCTAATCTGCTGCTTATAAAGAAAAATACATGAACACTTTCATATAAGGGTTAGAGAAACAAAACCATCTTCCACACTCGTCCTGGTTTGACCGAGCTAATGAACTACTGTCTAAATGTGATGCAGAACGAGACCTCTGATAATGAATTATTAAAGGTCCAGCTGTGCTCTAACACGATGTAATGGCTCTTAAGTCTTCAGAGGGAGAAACAGGATGAGAGTCAGCAGGTTGTACTGAGCAGGGTGAGCTAAAGGCTAATGCTAATGTTCACTATGCAGGCTACAAACAGGGGTATGATGTTGTGTAATGTCATTATTTTGCAGGTATTCATCACTAAAATGTTTCAAATGCATCCTGACGGCCCGTCCACACGGCAGCGTGTGTTGCTTCAACGGCGACGCTTCCCATTCACTTTGAACGGGGTGACGTCACGCTTTGCCGAACTGCATTGTGGGTCCGTCGCTTTGTCTCCGTTGCTCGCTTCGAAAGTTGAGAAAACTTTTCAAGCGTCGACGGAAGCGCCAGCCAATCAAATAATATGCCAGTACAAGCTCTAGCCAATCAAACCGCGTGCTTGTGTGTCCGGGGCGGGAGATTAATGTGATTGGTTGTTGGTCGCACGCCAGACACGCCCACCGGCAAGCTTCAACGCACGCTGCCGTGTGGACGTACCGTGAGAGGCACCAAATGTCATGGCAATTGTGTCGTGTGCCCTCATACCAAAATGTAGATTTTCCCCGTAACATGTTAAAGTGATGCCAGAAAACAATATTTCTGTCTAAAACTGCGTCCAATAGGGCGGCAGACGGCAATTGTTCAGTCTTATATCCAAGATCAGCGCCACAGTATCACCTCATACTATATCTTTCTAGAAAGAAAACCCTGAATATCATCATTAATTTATTACATTTAATTACTTATTTATTAGTTTTTGCATATTTCTTTGTGGAGGTATTCAGCTTTACATTTTGAGTAAATCAAGATATGATAAATCGACAAAATCAGTGTTGTTGTAGTTACTGGTAACAAGGAGATGAATGGCTCACCTGAACACCACGTCCTCCAGGTCGAAGGGGTACTCGATGATCCCGGTGGTCGGCACCCGGACCCTCAGAACATCCTGCTGAGTCGGCAGATAAGAGGCGTCGCTGATCCGGTCCATTTCATCCAGATAGCTGCGGACAGGCGAGGATAATCAATCAGGTTTATCACAAACAGTACAAGCATGAGACATCATGGGAAATTGAAGCTTTGACTACAGACACTAAACAGAAAGTATTTTAAATGTATATTACTAATACTACATCTGGGAGAGTTCATGTATTATACAGAAACATTTACAAGCTAAAAAAAAACCTTAGCATGACTAAATATCCTAAAACTAAATTTGAATATAAACTAAATGGTCCAAAAACATGTATTTAATCAGTCGTAGCATTGGTTTGAAACTGGTTAGTTATAATAAACACAGATATTTTAAAAAGGCAAATAATGGTACGAATAAAATGCATTTTATAGTAAAGTAACTTCAAAACGGGGCAATTCAAAGTGCTTTACGAAAACAACATTTAAAAACAGCCTTTTAAAAAGCATTTAGATATAGTGCAGCAGAAACACATTATAAAATGACGTTTAGTAGGTAGGTAGGTAGGTAGGTAGGTAGGTAGGTAGGTAGACTGCTTGCACTACTTTGTATTTAATTATATGTTGCATTGTTGGAGGAGCTCAGGTCAGAATAATTTCATTGCCATGTCTACACTGTCGCTTTGTACAAATGACAATAAAAGCCTTGAATCTTGAATCTGTAAAGTCTGAGGAGTTTTACTTATGTAAACTTACGTGATATTTATTGTGAAAATAGTTTATATTCCAACCACTTCACCCTAAGTGAGAATGTAAACAGTGTTTCTAGCTTGTAATCCTCTTGTCAACACCCTTAAACCAGACGAAAGCAGAGGAACAAATGGAAACTCTTCTGTAAAGTCTCAGAGTTTTCCTTCACTCACTATCTGGCGGAGTCAGAGAGCTGGTACTCCCTCTTGCGATGGTAGCACTCCTGAATCCCCGCGTCGCTCCACAGACTCTTGATGGCGTCGGCGTACGGCTGAGGAAGAGTCGTGACTCGCTCCACATCCACCCCGCACACCAGAGTGGCGTTCGCCTGAACACAAGAAAACACTACAATTAGTGACTCGACACTTTCAGAGTCAATTATACAGAAAAGGACTTTTGGTTTTGTTTTGGAAAACCTCCACAGCTCTCCACTTTGAATATAGTATTTGACATGTGTTCTTATATCTTACTTATCTCAGTTTTTCACATATTAATGTTTATTGTAAATTAGCTAAACCTGCCCCATTTACCGTTTGTTGTGACGGTTGATTAATGGGGACTGTCCATGACATCTTTAAATCTCCTCTCTCCCCTCTTGACAGCTGTCATTTCAGGTGACTCGATGCCACCCTCCTCCACTTCCTGTTCTTCATATCCAGGGTCAACTCAAATCAAGACCGGTTCTCCATCAATCCCTTCACCCCTTCACCACCACCAGTTTCTTTAATGCTCGGTTTCCCCCTCCCAAAACACACCTTTGCTCAACGGGGTCTAATCACCAAACACTGTTACATTCATCTGTGTGTTCTTGGCAATAAATACATATCGTTAAATCAAAACAAAGTCTCTCCTGATTGAAATAAAGTTATTGCTTTGTTTATTTCTGCAAAACATACATTTATGAAAAGATACAGGAGCTTTCTCCAGAAAAAGAACCAGTTTTTTTGTCAACAGCCTGTAGCCAAAACTCTTCCATAAAACTAAAGCCCCGGCCACACGAGGACGATAACGGTCATATCCGCTACAGTTCACTATCAGATAGACGGTTCGGCCACACGAGGCTGACATGGAAACGCAGAAAACGATAACAGGTCCCTAGGTGGGTAGATCTGCGGACGAAACTCTCTGGGGGGGGCAAACGGCTCCGTGTTTACGCCTATACGATCATGTCCTGATAACATTGAAGCAATAGCCCCGCCTCTCCTGCTCAGAGATCAGAAGAGGGGGAGGAAAAGAGAGGCTCCGGTTTTTATTATTATACGATTATATAGAGTCGTTATTCATTTGTTTTAAAGCTCAATAAATAACAAAGAAGACCTTTGACCGGCACTTTTCTATTTTTGTCCGGAAGATTAAAACTTTAACGGACATGTTGACCGGCGAAAATAAATCTAACTGAAACTCTGCCGCACGGTCCCCTCGTCCCTTGGAAGAGGCGGAGAGGTGGGTGTTTGTCATCTGCTGGTGGACTACCGGAGAGAATCACAGCAGGAGCAAACGCTTGCCTCGGGGAGGGAGAAAAAGAGCCAGAGCGGAGAATAAACAGAAGGGCAATCATGCGTAGGAAGTCTTCTTCGCTGCTTTTGTGGCAGGACCAGTGCTGGAATTGGGCCGGTACTCACCGGTACGCAGTACCGGCACTTCTGGTTCTGACCCATGGAGTACCGGCACTTCTTGCTCAGTACCGGCATGCTGGCGGTACTCCGGTACTCATGCACCGTGCCAGTACTCAACACTCTCCCGCCGTTCTTATTATACATCCATATATATATATACAAGCCGCCCGGTACTCAGTAGATGCGTCATGAGGTGCCGAACGGACATTCTCATCGCTCTAAACCGCTGGAGTTTCACAGCGGCTGTCAGCTGTTTACTCCTGTCATTCAAACAGAAACGTGCTGGAGAGGGGGCGGGGCTTATCTTCTCCATGTAAATACTGTGGTGGAAACGACTATGTCAAAATTAACCTATTTGACCGTGATTTAATAGTAATACACGTTTCAAAATAATAATAATAATAATAATGCCGAAGTAACAACATACTGAAAACTGTTAGTAAAACCATGTTTTAATGCTTTACAATTTACATACCTAGATGCACGTGTGTTGTGTTTATGCAGTGCAACTCCCACCCAGTGGGTGGCTATGTAGAGTGATAGAACAGAGCAGGCACGCCCCCGAGAGAAGTAAAGCAAGTCACGTCACAAATTAGCATTTCTAAAATGTTGGCGTGGATTAATAAAAGTGCAAAAAGACAGCGGTTGTCGCCGGAAGAAACTTCAAATACAGAGAATGCTGTGCCTGTGTTGGAAATTGTGTCTGATGGGGAGCTTTCTTTGGTTGATCCTCCTGCTCCAAGTTCTAGTGCATTAGCATTAGCACTAGCTCCGCCGCCTCCTCCAGAGCCTCTAACGTTAGCTGCTGCTGGCGCAACTGCCACCACCAACACCGGGCAAAGCGATGCACCTGACTGCTGGACAACGGACCAGGTGCAATATTTTTGCAAGACCAATGCATGGCTCCTTCTTAAAGATAAGAAGCTAGGATGTCGGATATGCAGAGATTTCAAATCTTTGGGAATACACACTGGACAAGGACTGAAACTGTCAACTGAATGGGGTGAGTGTGCAGTGTCTCATTTCGGTGTTGACAAGGGCAAACAACAGCTAGCCTGAGAAAAAAAATCAAAGAACATAAAGAATCACAAGCCCATGTAAAAGCTGCTGACATCCTTACATCTGCTTCACGTGAAACTATTCAACATCAAGTGCAGTCTATGCATAAATCTGAATTAGACACCACTATCAGAGTTTTTCGAACGGCATATAAAATTGGCAAACATAGCCGGCCATTCACAGACATGCCAATTGATTTGAATGTACAGAAACTGAATGAGCTGAACGTGGGCAGGGTTTTGCTCTCCAATAAAACCTGTGGCGAAATCATCGACCACATAGCTCAGCTGAAGAAAAAAAATGGCAAAAGACATTACAGAAAACCAAAGAAAACTCTGTGTTTTGGTCGATGAATCTACCACTATTAGTGGTAAAACGGTGCTTGTTGTGTGTCTACGCTCAGCATTAGCTGATGCTGAGCCCGAAACGTTTTTTTGGGAGCTGATCGAGTTGGATGGAACAACGGCTGATGACATCACAAAGGCGTTAATGGAGTGTCTTGGAAGAGATTTTAACGAGGACTTTTTAGGTCAGTGTTTCGTTTCTTTTGCATGTGATGGGGCTTCAGTCATGCTAGGGAAGAGAACAGGCGTTGCTACCCAGTTGTGTAGTAAATTCCCAAGCCTGTTTGTGTGGCACTGCTCCAATCATTGTCTAGAGCTGGCAGTTGGGGATGTGGTAAAGGAGGTCTCAGGGCTCAATCATTTCCAGATCTTTTTTGACAAACTCTATTCCTTGTTCCATGCCTCCCCCAAAAATCAGAGGCAGTTAGCGCAGTGTGCGCAAGCAGTCGGACAGCGTCTCCTGGTGATAGGGCGTGTTTTGTCCATCCGCTGGGTGGCTTCAAGTGAAAGGAGCGTCAGAGCAGTCTGGGAAAACTACCCGAGTGCTTCATGATCACTTCACAATGCTGCAAAACGACACGAGCAGGGATTCCAGAGACAGAGCAAAGTACAAGGGCCTGGATGATGTGCTCACATCTGCAACGTTTGTCAGCAATCTGGGACTGATGTACGATGCGCTCACAGAGCTCAGCGACCTCTCTCGGCAACTCCAAAAAAGAGAGATGACACTGCCTACAGCAGATAGGCTCTTAACTCGAGAAATACGAGTTTTTGAATCCATGGTCACCATGCCTGGCCCACACATGACTACAGTTCATACAGCTCTAGCTGAGAAGTCCTTCAAGGGTGTTGCCCTGCGTGAGAATGGCAGGCTTGTACAGATTCATGCAGGTCAGTTTTTCCGCAGTATGGTAGAGAATCTGAGACACAGAATGACTTCCACAACCTCCTCTCATGTCAGCACAAGAGAAATCCCATTACATGGCCGGGAGGCCCGGGACAATCAGCTAATCCAGGACATGAAAGTTATCCATCCTGGAAGTTGGCCTGAAGAGGAGTTAGACGTACAGTATGGGGACGTAGAGGTGCTACGTTTGTGCGAAGTGCTGAAAGTGGACAGAAGAGAGACTGTTCAGGGCTTTCGCGAATACAAGGAAACCAGGGCATCCCGTACACCTGCTGCCATGGAGCCTCTACTGAAAGCAGTCCGAACCATCGCTGTCTCCACTAGTGAGTGTGAGCGGGCATTCAGCTGCATGAACAATATCCTTACTGCAAAAAGGAATGCTCTCTCTGTCAGCCGACTGTCCAGCCTGGTTTTCATTAAATGTAATGGACCATCACTAGGACAGTTCAATCCGGAACAGTATGTGAGGTCCTGGCTGGCAAAGGGAAGGAGAAGTGCTGATGAAAGAGCCTGTCCAGCTCCAGCCCCTGATACTGATGTCCCCAAGGCCTTCTGGAGCCTTTTCTAACAATGTGAAGTATATTGCAAAGCAGCTCACCCAGTGAGAAGACTTTTGGCATAATGTGCCGATTTGTACAGATCCTGGAGATAGAAGGACTTCAGACCAACCAGGGAGTTATCTGATCAGCTTGGTGTTCAATGTAACTCTTTACCATGGCTCAGACTTTGTTACTTGCAGTTACAGTTTCTCATTTTAGATTGTGCAAATTTTGCATTTGTTTTTACATGTTCTTTGTTCATGCTCTTTATCATTTTTCTGAGTTGGAAAGTTAGATTGCATCATAGTTTACTTTATACATATTTGTATTCTTCAGTGGTGAAGTATATTGCAAAGCAGCTCAGCCATGTGAGAAGACTTTTGGCACTTTTTCGTTTTTCGTTTTCTGAGTTGGAAAGTTAGATTGCATTCAAAATGTACAGAAATACTTAATTTTGTTAAAGCTTTTTATAAAAAATGCTTCTGACCAGAGCTTTGTTTCCTTGTCATTAATGTTGAACACCACCAGAGGGGCTCTCACCTGAAAGGTCTCTGCTTCATGTGTCTTCAGCAGAAGATCTAGACTTTGATTGCTATATTTTCAGTTAATATTGACCTTACTGAGCTTTAGCCATATCCGCTGCCTATCGTAAAAAATGTTAAGTACAGTGAACCTTTCTAAAATATACAGTAGTAAAGAGACAAACCCACCAGCATTATAGTAGCCAAATTCTTGTTTGTGGGCTGTATATATAAAATTGACTTGAAAAAGTTGCTGATTTTAGAGTACTGGCACCTTTTTAATTCCAATTCAAGCACTGGGCAGGACTACAGCGCCACTTACAGGCCTGGCATATGTACTACAGCGTCTCCAGCGCTTTCGAGCGGTCTCGTGTGAACGTACACGTTTCTCGTGCCTGTGGTAGGAAGACTTTTTTGATAACGATTGCGGTCCGTTTGCGTTATTGACCTCGTGTGGCTGGGGCCTAACTCTGATGTGGTTGGTTGATAAATCGAAGAATGACTGATTGGTTCGCTGTTTATTCCCAAACAACAACATCCTCCATGCATCATATAATAAATAAAGCTCAAACAAACTTAACTGGAAGATTAGTCATGAAATAAGAGCCCCCTTTCCCCCTTCCTGTGCATTCACAGACACTGGAGCTGAAAGGAAAACACAAAGGCTGCTTTGTGTTCCTGACTTTACAAAGTGATGTCTTGTGTCTTCTTGGAATTCAAAATCTATCCAGTTTACCCCATTTGCTCTCATTTATATCCGATTAACAACGTATATACTTTCTTTAATCGTGACGCCAGATATAAATGAAAAGCAAAAGGAACAACAAGAGAAACAGATATACATGTCAAAATGAAGAAACGCATCATTTCTGTGGGAAGCTATACCCTCAAATGCCCTTTTCCTTTGTGTGCATGTTTAAAGGTTGGGTAGGTAACTTTGGAGAAACCAGCTCGAGTGCGCTAGAATTTGAAAATACACAACTGGAAAATATCTGCCCCTTCCTTACAGAGCCCCTCCTCCAACACACACGAACGCGCACATGACCAATGAGGGCACGAGATGAGTTTGTGCACAGATGGAAGGCTGACAGGCAGGTAGGCCATCCAGTTACTTTAGCCGGCTCAGATGATTGGTCGAGCTTTTTACAGCGCCACGGCTTCCACTGATGACCTTTTTGTATGTATTTATTGTCAAAGCACTTCATGTATTCATTGCTATCGGGATGTTAAGAGCATTCCATGGAATATAACAAAAAGTGTTGCTGAAGTGAATTACCTACCCCACCTTTAAATAAATAAATGCAATGGTAGGGGAAACACATGCTGACTCAGACATGGTTAATGCTGCCAAACGTCACATGACCCCCTCCCCCCCAGTTCAAAGGAAGTGGACTCTTCTTACTCCTTACCTGGAAACTCTCTAACTAAGATTTATGTGATTAATAATTCTTTACGGTTGGGATTCCGGTGAGTCACTCGATGATTAACGGGAATTTCTTCTCCTTCTCCTTCTTCTGCGTCTCGTCACCTGTCCTCACACGCCTCAGAGTCACAGTGTGTGCTCTCCCCAAAACACAAGGAGACAGGATTGCAAAACTAAACAGAGGCGCAGTTTACCAGAAGTGCTTCAGCCTGATACACTGCAGGCTGTGTGTGTGTGTGTGTGTGTGTGTGTGTGTGTGTGTGTGTGTGTGTGTGTGTGTGTGTGTGTGTGTGAGACAGTGAAGCATGCTATTGTTGGACAGTGTGTGCATCAACAACAAAAAGAGATAAGAATGAGTTTTCACTTTGCCCTCACATGACCTTTGTTTGAAACTATGATCCGTCTCAACACTAATATATTTGCTGCTACTCATTAATAGCCATGTACTTATTTGTCTTTCTTTTTATTTTTCTATTGTAGTAATACCTGGTTGTTTCTGTGTGTGTGTGTGTGTGTGTGTGTGTGTGTGTGTGTGTGTATGTGTGTGTGTGTGTGTGGTACCTGGTTGTGTGTGTGTGTAGTACCTGGTTGTGTGTATGTGTGTGTTTAGTACCTGGTTGTCTGTGTGTGTGTAGTACCTGGTTGTGTGTCTGTGTGTGTGTAGTACCTGGTTGTCTGTGTGTGTGTAGTACCTGGTTGTGTGTCTGTGTGTGTGTAGTACCTGGTTGTGTGTCTGTGTGTGTTTAGTACCTGGTTGTCTGTGTGTGTGTGTAGTACCTGGTTGTTTATGTGTGTGTGTTACCTGGTTGTGTGTATGTGTTACTTGGTTGTGTGTGTGTGTGTGTGTGTGTGTGTGTGTGTGTGTGTGTGTGTACCTGCTTGTGTGTGTGTGCATGTGTGTGTACCTGCTTGTGTGTGTGTGTGTGTGTACCTGGTCGTGTGTGTGTATCCGGTTGTGTGTGTGTGTTACCTGGTTTTGTGTGTGTGTCTGGTTGTGTGTGTGTATCCAGTTGTGTGTGTGTGTGTGTTACCTGGTTGTGTGTGTATCCAGTTGTGTGTGTGTGTACCTGGTCGTGTGTGTGTATCCGGTTGTGTGTGTGTGTGTTACCTGGTTGTGTGTGTGTGTGTGTGTGTGTGTGTGTGTGTGCGTACCTGGTCGTGTGTGTGTATCCGGTTGTGTGTGTGTGTTACCTGGTTGTGTGTGTGTATCCGGTTATGTGTGTGTGCGTACCTGGTCGTGTGTGTGTATCCGGTTGTGTGTGTGTGTTACCTGGTTGTGTGTGTGTGGGTACCTGGTCGTGTGTGTGTATCCGGTTGTGTGTGTGTGTTACCTGGTTGTGTGTGTGTACCTGGTCGTGTGTGTGTATCCGGTTGTGTGTGTGTGTGCGTACCTGATCGTGTGTGTGTATCCGGTTGTGTGTGTGTGTTACCTGGTTGTGTGTGTGTGTGTTACCTGGTTGTGTGTGTGTGTGTAGGGGATCTGCAGGGCCTCCATCGCCTGGACCATGGCCTGCATGGCAGTGAAGATGTTCTGGTGAACCAGCCTGGAGAACCCTCTCTTGTCCTCATCACTGTAGCCCCGGCCGTGGATGATCCTCATCTGCTTTATGAAGGTGCTCTTCCCACTCTCACCAGTCCCTACACACACACACACACGCACACACACACACACAAGAAACACAGGGATTTTAGCCTCTGCAGACCATTTACATGCAAGGCAAGTTTATTTATAGAGCACCTTTCAACACAAGGCAATTCAAAGTGCTTTCCAAAAATAAAAGACAATAAGAAGCATATTATTAAATGGCATTTAAAAACACTCATTTAAAATCAAAGCTAATAAAACATGAGTAACAAAGTGACAGTGAGATACACACATCTGAAATGGTTAGCTCTGACTCTCAGTCATTGCTAACCTTTTAGCAGAAATTGTTTTCCATGACCTCACTTTCTTTCTACTTTCTTGTTTAACGTATCCTTTAGTTATGTCAAGTGTGTCATGCTAAACTAACCCCCCTTTGGGAAATTCCAATCTGACCCCACGGTACCTTTTCGTCAAAACTATTCCTCTTTTTTTAAATGCACATTAGTTAAGTTTACCTTGTCTTTCTAGAGTGCACACAACAGGGAAGGAAAACCCCCAGAAAGCATAATAGGGCCCCTGAACATTGTTTTAATGAAGCTTTAATACAGCAGGTTATCACTGAACAGACATGCACAAATAAAACAAAAAGCTGCTATAAATCAAGCTCCACTTTGCAGCTGCAGCATTAAAGTGATGAACACATTAATGCATAAATAATTCATTACAATAATATATATATTCTGAACTCGACGTGCAACTGGACCGTTGTGCAAAATAATTCTATAAGGGCTTTTACTTGTAACAAAGTATTTCTAAACGATGGTACCACTACTACTGAAGATCAGAGCATCATGTAATGTATGGATCATTTCGTTTGTAAAAAATCTCCATCTTCAAAGTAACTGGTAAATGGGGCGAAGCCTGCGAGCTAGTTCATAAATGTATGCTTGCTTTATTATCTTTAGAGGGCCATATTTGATTTGTGTTACTTGACAGAAGATGCATCAACACAGAGTATCTTTAAGGTGTGGTGGATATTTCTCTTTCTGAAATGATTAACAGAATGAATCACCACTCCTTTAGGGTCAAAAGTCCGATGTGTAGCTTCTTCACACGTCTATCAACATTCTTACATTTTAACCCTGTGCTCCATATCATATATTTCAATAAATCATATCATGTGTAAACCCTTAAAACTGTCCAGCATTATTTATGGATTTAAAGATACGCTCATGATTTTACTCCGTGTTTCTAACTGTTGCCAGTAAATGATTTCATTATAACGAGGTCAGCTACAGGAGGAAATGCTGCACATTGTTGTCATTAGCATTTTACTGGCAGCACTGGTGGGATGACAGAATGTTGTTTATAAAACTTGAGTTGAAGAATAAAAACAGACCCACAGGGCGCTAAAATAAGAAGAACGCCAGACGTTAAACTTCTTCACACTCAGGCCAACAATGGGAAAATAAAAAATAAATAAAAACACGGCAATAAATTGATGCCATATACAAGAATCCCTCTGTAGTTTGTGGTTCATTCATGCTAACAAGCTATCAATGCTGAAAGGCCTCCATTGGACTCCTTTGTTTACTTCCGGAAGATGGTGACATCACTGTGTAACACTCCCACTTCTATTGGCTAGCGCTCCAACACATTGTACATGATAGGCTAAGGAGGCGGGACATCTCTAAGCGGTTGACCAATCACAACTGAGCCAGCCAGCTAACCAATCAGATCAGACTGGGCTCTGGTTTCAGAGGCTTTTACTTGTAAGACCATAGCAGAGGTGTACAGTTTTGAGCTTTGAGAACACTTTAATGATCAATCATTATAAAACATATCATGTTTTATTCTGAAATGGACCAATCTGCACAACGACTACTTTTACTGTCGCTACTTTCACTATATTTTGATGAGAATACTTTTCTACTTTTACTTGAGTAACATTTTGAATGCAGGACTTTTACTTTAACAGAGTATTCCTACACTCTGGTACTTCTAATTTTACTCAAGTACAAGATCTGAGTACTTTTAGTAAAGTAACATTTTGAATGCAGGACTTTTACTATATTACTAAAATGTAGTATTGCTACTTTTCCTTAAGCAAAACATATCAGTACTTTTTAAGACCATGCATTTCTACTTAATTAGAGTATCTGTAAACTTCTTCTCGCACTATAATAAAAGTAATTGATAAACCCGTCCCCCGGTCCTCACCAAGCAGCAGCAGCTTGTACTCCCGCCTGGAGTCCCTCTCGTCCCGGCGCAGCTGCCTCTCGATCTCGTCGTTGATCCGCCTCGCCTCTTTGGCCTCCGGGCTGAGGCAGCAGGCCCCCACCGAGCTCAGAGTCATCTCTACCGGGGGAAAATTGCACCTTCCCGGGCGCACACACACTCACAATGTCGGTTACAGAAGAAATTGAACACCCCAAAGTCCCCACATTCCCATTAACCCTCCACCAGCGGCTGTGCGTAAAAACTGCAGATCTATCTGGAAACAAGCTTTAAGAACATCTCAGGAAGCGATTAAGACTAAAAGGATGTTAGTGTTACCTTGTTTCTCTCTTGTGATGAGGAAGTAAAGTTTGTGCAAACAACTTAAGAAGCAGAGGCTGTTCTCCGGGCGTGGTGCGGTGAATATGGCGGAGTTTCACTTCATAGCGCTGCAAAACAAGGCGAACATGCGCTAAAAGCCCGTTTCCAGAGTCAGAAAAGATGCAACGGTTGTTTTTCAGTGGATGGAGATAAATCTTGGAGTGATCTTCCTTTAGCGTGCAGTTTGCCGTCCTCTATTGTGTGTGAAAAAACAGAAACAACAGAGCACCATGTGACTGACAGAGGGCTGATCTGATGGGAAGCCGTGTGGGAGCTGCACTATTACATTATGGGAACTAATTTCCGGTGCTAGACTGCGGATGCATTGGACAGGCTGACACAACTCACCGGAAACCAAATTACAACCAGGCAGATTTCTTATGAAGACACAGAGGAGGAGAAGTACTCAGATCTGGTACTTGAGTAAAAGTAGAAGTACTCAGATCTGGTACTTGAGTAAAAGTAGAAGTACTCAAATCTGGTACTTGAGTAAAAGTAGAAGTACTCAGATCTGGTACTTGAGTAAAAGTAGAAGTACTCAGATCTTGTACTTGAGTAAAAGTAGAAGTACTCAGATATTGTACTTGAGTAAAAGTAGAAGTACTCAGATCTTGTACTTGAGTAAAAGTAGAAGTACTCAGATCTTGTACTTGAGTAAAAGTAGAAGTACTCAGATCTTGTACTTGAGTAAAAGTAGAAGTACTCAGATCTTGTACTTGAGTAAAAGTAGAAGTACTCAGGTCTTGTACTTGAGTCAAAGTAGAAGTACCAGAGTGTAGGAATACTCAGTTACAGTAAAAGTACTGCATTCAAAATGTTCCTCAAGTAAAAGTAGAAAAGTATTCTCATCAAAATATAGTGAAAGTAGCGACAGTAAAAGTAGTGATTGTGCAGATTGGTCCATTTCAGAATAATATATATGATTTGTTTTATAATGATTGATCATGAAAGTGTTCTCAAAGCTGGTAAAGGTGCAGCTAGTTTGAATGACTTTGTATACTGCAGGGTAGCTGGTGGATTTACTCCAGGTGGAACTAAAGTCTGATTCAACACTTGATTATATTTCACATCATTCATCCACATCTGTGAAGTAACTAAAGGTATTACATACATTTAGTGGAGTAAGAGTACACCATGTACCTCTGAACTGTAGTGGAGTAGAAGTACACAGTAGCATACAATTATAATTCTCAAGTACCTCTAAATCTAACTTAAATACAGTACTTGGCAAATGCTAGTTACTTTACACCTCTGAGCAGAAAGTAGAGCCACTCTGCAGAACTGTGACAGACTTTATTTACTAAACTCCTGCAGGAGGTAACAGGACAACCAACATGGACTCTGTATGCTCCGAAACACACTTTAAAAATGCTTCAAAATTAAACACACTCATGGATCAAACAGATAAGGTTGAATCACAGCCAGTCATGAGCGGCAGAAAAGACATTTAAAAAAAGATGACCTAACCTGATTGATGGCGCAATCTCCTTCCAAGAAAGTAGGGCCTATTTAACGGCAGCACTCATGACACTAATGTTTACTTCATGTAAATATATACACACATTTTGCTTCATCACACTGGCACATGTATCCCAACTTAAAGCAAAAGTAGGACATCTATTTGGGAAATCCCCAAAACCAAAATAGGGCCTCTTTAAGTAGGATTTATTTTCATACACACATAAGAACCAACCAAGCTCTTGCAAGAAGGAAATGTCAAACTACTTCAATAAAGCCCCCTCTTACAAAAAAGCACTTTAAAAGTATGCTGAAATTGAGTAAAAATCAAAGTTTATTTTAATGGTACTTCTCCATTCGGACACCATGCAGCTTCATTTTGAAAGTGTGCTTAAAGGTTTTAAGGAGGGGAAGAAACAAAATGTCTTTACAAAGAGATTACATTCTGCATGCTGCACTGAAATAAAGCAGAAAAACACAGATGAGTTCACTCCACGAGAATCTGTCCGACAGATTTGAGATTCAAAGGAAAATCGTTGTGTTTTGTGAGAAAGAAAAGGGGAGGAGAAGCAGGGGAATGTCGGCTCTGAGGAGGAAACAGTATGGCGGCATGGCTTCACTCTTCTTCTTTATCGCTCTCCTTTTTCTAGAAGAAGCGACCAGAGTACTGCCTCACACTGAAACCAGAAACACATGAAAGTAGGACAACATTAGGAATATTTATTGGAAGAGGAGATCGGACGCTTCACACACACATTTTTATTGTGGAATGACAGCATTTAAAAAAGCATGCCAATAAATAGAAAAGCTTCATGACTGCTTAGACATGTAGAGAGAAGGAGAGAAGGAGTGAAGGAGAGAAGGAGAGAAGGAGAGGAGGAAGTGTCTGAAACTCAACATTAAAACACTGATATGTTTCTCTCTTAAAGGCGCTTTGCATTACGTCCAAAGGTTACACTGATTTCAGATAAGGCTAAAGCTTATGATTGTTTGTGGAATCATTACTTTCTCCATTGTTGTGTTTATAAAAAGGGTTGACAATTCTATATATAATAAGTATATATTTCCATATTATTCCCAGAAGCAGCAGGTCCTCACATTTTAAGAATATAAAATCTCTACTCAAAATAATAAAGAATTTTGAAAATGGCAAATATCCGATTCCAGAAATCCATGAATGCATCGTTAGCACATTAAAACACAACATTTAAGAACGCGTATAATGTAAAAAAGGATTGTTCTAATGACCAACAGGGGAAGTTTAATTGTTATATTTGTTAATTAAACATTTCAAAACAGAGCCTGATTTATGGAGCATTTTTTATTCCTCAAAATACAAACAACAAAGATTATCAAAACTGAAAATGAAACAAGAACATTTAACCTAACAAATCCAAATTAACACAGATTTTAATACATAATGCCTATCTTGCAAATACAACATTTTCTAAACCTCAATAGGAACAATGATTGCCTTTATTATACTAACGATCTGGGGAAGATTTAAGGAGACATCTATATTTTGTACTTCCTTCACCTGCAGCGTTCCCCTTCAGAATGACAGCAGGCTCATAATGTGTTTGATGTATTTCTTTGTGTGTGCTTTACCCGGCTGCAGACACTCAATAAAGCAAATTAACTATCTTAAAAACAGCAACAAAACCCATGTTTACTTCCATGCAGAGCCGACCCACAGATAGCAGCTCTTTGTGGGTTGGGGGGGGGGAGGGGGGGGGGTCACTGGAGAACGTGCCTGTTCTGCAGCAGGTACTGGGCGTTCTGGATCTGGTCCTGTGTGCCCGTGATGGTGATGATTCGGTCCTCGGAGCCCTCTAGTGGCTCATCAATCTTGATGGAGGCTCCGGACTCGTGGCGGATCTGTTTGATCCTCTGGCCCCCCTTCCCGATGATGGAGCCCGCCAGCTGGGGAGCAAAGGAGGGTTCAGGGTTCACACCTTTTCACCAATGACCTTTACCTAATTTTCCACGACCAAAAACATTACTCAGCGTTCCACTGAAAATGGTTTATTTGAACTTGGAACAGGAAAATAAGGTCTGGAACATGTTGTGCCTATCTAAGACTAATCCAATAGTAGGCTTTCTACACGTTAAAGCAACTAAAATCCCTCGTCAGTTAAATGCCATTGTACGTTTCATACGATACAGTATTTATTATCGTTATAGTATTACTATTTCGGCGATTAGATAACATATAATTATATTTGATGCAACTTTAGTTACATTTCAATGACTTTTCCAAAACTTTGGGAAAAATATGGTTTTCCAGGGCCTGGAATTTGCATTTTGAATTTCCATGACTTTTCCAGGTTTTGAATGACCGTAGGAATCCTGAAGGTCTTTATTTACAGCAACATGTGTGGTTTATAACGTATAAATAAAGTCGGCATTTTCATAATTGTGCGTTTAAATAAAAAAACATGAATAGAACACAACTAAACATCCAAAAATAAATTGTTTATTTATCAAAGCAAAAACTAATTTGCATATTATATATTTTTATTTCATATTTAAATATGGTACGATTTATTATTTTCTGTGTTTGTTATTTTTTTTCCCTATTTTCTATTTCTCTCTTGGTATTTTAATAAATATTGAAATATATTTAAAAAGGAATAACAAATATATTAATAAAAAAATATATATATTCAGTTTCAGTTATATATATATTCCTGGTTCTGCTTTTCGATTCCAGTTCTTTTCGGTTCTTGATTTCTGAAACGTGGACATACAGTGGGTGTTTCTCAATGTCGAGTAAAGCTGCTCCAGAGACACTATTTCAAGCATACTACCGAGCCCGGCGTACTTCGTAGCAAGAAATGTCGAGGCTGCACATGTGTAGACTCCGGTCTTAAAATCCCCACAATGCTTTGCGCACGGACTAATTTCCCCAAATCTGTGGCGGAAAATGTAAGGCGGGGCCTCTCATGACGCACACCTGCACACTTGCTCGCCTGTTCCACTCTTCGTTTTCCGAATGCCAGGAAGTGTTCTTGCCTCGCTTCTGAAGCAAGTGACTCGGAAGACATGTCCTACCAAGCAAGCGTCCTCGACATTGAGAAACACCCTGTATCTCTCTGATCGCACTGTACAATCTCTTGTAGGTTTTCTTGCCAATATATATATTCCTGGTTCTGCTTTTCGATTCCAGTTCTTTTCAGTTCCTGGTTTCGGTACCCAACCCTAGTAATGGCAACTTTATTCATCCGTATGAAGGGTCCACACTACACCAGTAGATGTGTTTATCTGGCTCGGATTGAGGATAAAATAATCAATGTTTCATGCTTACACTGACTTTTTACAAACAGGAAGTGCTTTAGACTGACTGCTAATCTGTTGATTGGATATTTTGGCAACAGCATGGTGTTTTTTAACTCCATATTTAACTAAATTAACTTTTTTGCAGCATTTTGTTTGGACACTCACGTCTTTTGGGATGGTGACTTGTGTTGTGATGACTGGGCCTCCGATGTCGCTGTACGATCCTCTGCCGCCTGAAATCAGGAGATAAAGAACATTTCAGGTGGTTCTATCTTTGACTAACGCATGCAACAAGAAGCCCTTTAGGTGAGGGGTCAAGAGAGAAGAGACATGTAATCCATCCCCACTCACCAGACTGGAAGTGCTCCCAGGAGGAGTTGTTGTCTTTAGGAGAGGAAACAAGAGAGTGAGAAATGAAAAGACACCACGGGAGGAAGAGTGATGGAAAACCTAAAGTGAACCGTTCCTGCCTCCATGTGCTCTAAAGAATAAGGAAAGTGAGGCACAGGGACCCCCAGGGAGAGATTACATGTATCTAAATTATTATGATGTATTTAAAATCATTTTAAAATCTAAAATAGTTAATAATGTTGTGTTTATTATTTTTAAATGTAAATTACAAAGTGTAAAGTACCATGATATATTACATTTACAGCATTTAGTTCAACAAAAATAATATTTTTCTAAATGTAAAATAGTATAACAATATAAGCTGATCTGAATAAAAAAGTGATTTTATTATATGATAATCAGAATCTGTGTTCAAAATGGAGGTCCCCATGAGGGGGGTCATTCATTTTAGGGTGAAGACTTGGTTAGGGTTAGGCATGAGTTGGTTAAGGTTAAGGTTAGGATAAGTCTCCAGGAAATGCATGTAAGTCAATGTAAGGTCCCCTGAAGTGGTGTGTGTGTGTGTGTGTGTGTGTTTGTGTGTATGTATGTGTGGCTGTGTGTGTGTGTATGTATGTATGCATGTATGTGTATGTACATACGTGTGGCTGTGTGTGTGTGTATATGTATGTATGTATGTGTGTGTGTGTGTGTGTGTGTATGTATGTATGTACATATGTGTGGCTGTGTGTGTGTGTGTGTGTGTGTGTGTATGTGTATGTATGTATGTATGTGTATGTATGTATGTGTATGTATGTGTATGTGTGTATGTATGTACATATGTGTGGCTGTGTGTGTGTATGTATGTGTGTGCGTGTGTGTACATATGTGTGTGTGTGTGTTTGTACATGTGTGGCTGTGTATGTATGTATGTGTATGTGTGTATATGTATGTATGTATGTGTGTGTGTGTATGTGCATATGTGTGGCTGTGTGTGTGTGTGTATGTATGTGTGTGTGTGTACATATGTGTGGCTGTGTGTGTATGTATGTGTATGTATGTGTATGTATGTATGTGTGTGTGTGTATGTGCATATGTGTGGCTGTGTGTGTATGTATGTGTATGTATGTGTATGTATGTATGTGTGTGTGTGTATGTGTGGCTGTGTATGTATGTATGTATGTATGTATGTGTGTATGTATATGTATGTATGTATGTGTGTGTGTGTATGTACATATGTGTGGCTGTGTGTGTGTATGTATGTGTGTGTGTGTACATATGTATGGCTGTGTGTGTATGTATGTGTGTGTGCATGTGTGTGTGTGTTTTCTGAAATCAACTTATAATGATCCCATTTCTCTGAATTTGAAATGTTAATATATTGCATTACTACTTTTAGCCAATTTCATTTATATCGGTTATTTGATGTTGGGGTGGGGCAATTGATTTAAAAACCCGTTATATGTTCCTATTTCTCTCGTTGTGTATGTATGATCGTTAGGGGGTCCCCAGTAGTTCTTCTACCTTCTGAGTGTTCCTTGTCTGAAAAACAATTAGGAAACTCTGCATTAAAGAAAGATCATTGTCCCTGATGAAGTGGACAATACGCAACATGTCTAAAACTAATTATTACCACAATTAAAACAATGACATGACTTTGTTTGAGTCAATAATGAATGTCACTCACCATATCCTCCTCCACCCTGCGTGATCGATGGAAAGGAAACAAGATGAACAAGAAACAGTTTAAAGGACGGCGTAATAAGGACATTTTGATAGTGCTGGTGTTAGCATTAGCTGTGTACAAAATATCGTATTACATTGTAATTATTTGAATCCTATAAATTCAATAAATGCAGTTTTGAATCCCGCCATATTTTTCCCTACATTTTTAGAAATACTTTAAACATGTTCTTATGTATATGTTCTTGCAGTTCAGGCCTAAAGGACGCCTGTTCAGGTTTTTTTATTTTCAGCTCAAGTTCATTTGTGCTAGCACCGGTGGATCTCCGGACTACGTACTCAGCTGCTCCGCGGTAACCACGGAGACAACTGTTGCCAGGCAACAACAGGCCCCTGGATCAGTGTGCGAACACACACACACACAGGCATTGTGTGTGTCACTCATAAAGAGGAATCCCAATCACCGCGTTTGAAACATATTTCACAATAAAAGACATGACACATATTCACACACTCACCATGCTGTCGAAACGGTCTCCTCCTCGGCCTCTTCTGTCACTAAACACACATATAATTATATTATATTAAATGCATTTATACATCAAACAAATACATGTTTTATACCAATTCATTTACATTTGATTTAGGTTCATTTTACACTGATTTGTTTAGGTATAATACTTATTGCAGGAAGGGACATGCAGACTGTGTGATGACCTGTGATCAGCTCAGACTCTGAATTGGTGGTGTTTTTTTACCTCTGTATTTTATAAATGTATATAATATAATATCTCTATCATATCATGAGTTATTGATAATCCTGCCCAGTCCTCACCTCTGTCTGTCGTCCATGCCGCCGTGATAACTGCCGTGAGAGAATCTGTCCCCCCTGGAAACAAGGACAGCGAAAATGTTGGAAAACTAAAATACAAACTTCCTACGGTTCCTATTCTATGGAGGGCTAAAGCTGCCGTTACAATTGACACATTCAAAATGTACTTTTGAATTAACAAAAAAAAAGACATGTATAGATAAATTACAATAAATAAGCAGGAGAACATTATTAATACATAAAAACATTTATTTTTTGTTATTTTATTTGATTAATTCCCTTTTTATTGTTGTTGATTTTTTACTTAAAGGGGACCTATCACGCAAAATGCACTTCTTGATGTCTTTTATACATCAACATGTGTCCCCGCTGTGTCCCCGGTGTGTCGGGGAACTCACGCAGCGTCAGGAAATAAAACCCTCTCTCTTTTCCTCCGTACCCAAATCTCTAAAAACGGGGAACAACGGAGCTGATCCAGATTTGCGTCCGATATGACGTCATATCTGAAATGTGGACCCACGGCCCAATCAGAAACGTTGCTATCAGAAACAATGCCCGACTGTTTTGGACGTAATATGGTCGGTGTTTACATTAGCATCGCTAACACTCAGAGCTGACCTGTACTGGAGAGCATGTGTGTGAAGAAGCAGGAAGTAAAAAGGAACTCACCTTGTGGTATAACCGGCAAGAGAGAAAGCCTTTGAGCTCCAAACTGTTTTAGATCCTTGATAATCCATGATATGGCGTTTCATCACGGCAGCATTTAGTTTAGACAGTAGCTGCCGGGTCCCGCATGAGCTCAGACCCCTCCTCTTTAAAGCTTTATACCCAAATCAGCACTTTTGAAACAGGAAGTGAAATAGAGGGATATGAGGCATGGCTAGAATGATCTGTTTGGTATTTTGAGCAAAACACTTCATAGAGATGTTTTTTATATATCTGAGACCTATGCTATTGCCTAAAAATAGCATGATAGGTGACCTTTAACACTTCTAACCACACCACAGTAATCATTGCTTAGGAACTGTTTGTTCCCATTATGTCTTATCATAGTAATTATGTGCCTGGTTTCTAAAAACACACCAGGACTAAATCCTTCGGTACAACTCCCTCAACTCCTCCCCTTTTTTACAAATGTATTGTACATGCCCCCCACTGTGGGACGTTTAAACCGTCTCTGATTCTGAAGACCTTCCTTTTAAATAAAGCCCATAGATAGAGAGCTTAGATGTCCCTACGTCTGTCCTCTTGAGTCCGACATTTTATGGTATTTCATAGTTTTTACTGTCTTTTTATTGTATTTTATCCATTATTTTTAAACCCTTGTTGACTTTAAAGTGCCTCTCCTCACCCTCCTCTTGGCAGCGGTGGAGGAGGAAGAGGCAGATTTCTCGCTCGGCTCCCTCCTCTTCCTCCTCCTCTGTTCAATGGAGGAGGAGGAGGACCCCGTCGCGGGCTGATGTCATCATAGTCCCGTCTGGAGGAGGGGGGCATCGGCCTGCTGCCTCTGGAGGGGGGAGGCATGTGATCAAAGCCCCCTCGAACCCTCATGGGGAAACCCCCCCCTCCGATTGGTCGCCTGCCTCGCTCCTCGAAAACAACGGTGAAGCCGCCGTAATCGTACGTCTCGTTGTAGAAGTTCGGGTCGTAAGGCTGCGCTCGGCCTTTGATAGGCGCCTGTGGAATAAAAAGGTAAAAGGAAATTATATATATCTATCTAACTTGTATTTATTTGTTCATTATTTATTTTATTTTATTATTTCACAACATGTATTTCTGGAAATGTAATTAAAAATGCGGTAAAAAACTAAAAAAAGATTGCTTATTTAACATTTACTTTATGAGATTTAAAGTTGTCTTTATATAATGCAATGTAATTATATAACGAGTAAAAACTGTGAAAAACAGCAGTCTGTGCTGTTGTCATATTGACCTCTAAAATGTCCGAATTGACCAATCAGAATCGAGTATTCATGCAGAGATGTGAAAAGTTCACACATCCTTTACTCTAGTTAGTAGGAGTACAGAGTGTTTAAAAATACTCAGGTAAAAGTAGAAGTACTGACTACACTTCTTTACTCAAGTCAAAGTAAAGAGGATTTGAAATGTACTTCAGTAAAAAGTACCCATAACTAGCAGCTGTTTTAAAGAGTACCTGAGCTCCCTTTATATTAATAGAACAATAATGTCATTGTTAGCTAATGAATGTTTCCATGCTGAACAACGGCAACATGACAACGTTTCCATTGGTCCCTCTTCTTTAGAGAAGACCAGGAAATGATGGATACACGGATCGTGTTCAAATCAATAGGCACGCAATGACTCTAAAGAATAATGATCACGCACCAAACACACATTCAGACTAAAGGAACCAGCTGTTTGGAGAATGAGAGAAGTAGAAAGTACAGGTATTTGAGTTCAACATGTAAGAAGTAGAAAGTACAGGTATTTGTGTTCAACATGTAAGAAGTAGAAAGTACAAGTATTTGTGTTCAACATGTAAGAAGTAGAAAGTACAGGTATTTGTGTTCAACATGTGAGAAGTAGAAAGTACAGGTATTTGAGTTCAACATGTAAGAAGTAGAAAGTACAGGTATTTGTGTTCAACATGTGAGAAGTAGAAAGTACAGGTATTTGAGTTCAACATGTGAGAAGTAGAAAGTACAGGTATTTGTGTTCAACATGTAAGAAGTAGAAAGTTCAGGTATTTGAGTTCAACATGTAAGAAGTAGAAAGTACAGGTATTTGAGTTCAACATGTAAGAAGTAGAAAGTACAGGTATTTGTGTTCAACATGTGAGAAGTAGAAAGTACAGGTATTTGTGTTCAACATGTGAGAAGTAGAAAGTACAGGTATTTGTGTTCAAAATGTAAGAAGTCAAAGTAAAAAGTCGTCAGAAGAATAAGTAATGGAGTAAAGTACTGATACCAGAAAAATGTACTTAAGTACAGTCACAAAGTATTTGTACTCCACTACTTCCCACCTCTGAAGCCATGTAATAAAGTAAATTAAGACTGACCTCGGCCACCAGCTCCAGGATAACTTTTATACACTCGACGACTCGCTCTGGTTTCCCTCCGACCAAAACCACTCTGTCGGTGGAGTGAGGACAGCATTCCTGGAACAGCTTGATGGTGGTCTGGGTGTTCTGGGCAGGAAACAGGAACATATTAAACCAATTAAATCTACTTTGATAACTCTGCTACTAAGCTATGGAAGGACAATGCTGCCATTGCAATAAATAATTACACTAAAATATGCATACATGAAATGTGCCAGACAAACATTTCCGTATTTAATTATTTATGAATTAATTATATTTAGTTTACATTTTATTTGATTACAAAGCATTTTTTTTAATTACATTTTCAGCATTATTGCATTTATTTATTGTTTGGGCAGCTTTAGTCCTCCATACAGAACTAACCAATAATGGTTATATAGTGTTTTCATACATGTATTTAACGTCATTGTTAAAAACAAACTTGATTATTTTAACAATTAATCTCCTGTTAATCTGGCCTCTGTCCTACCTCTCTCAGCTCCTTAATCTTGGCTCCTTTCACCCCGATGATCCCCCCCGCCAGGCTCTGGTGGATCAGCAGGCGAAGCTCCGAGTCAAAATCTGTCCCACTGTAATGCTGGTACTAAAAACAAAAAACACAAAGCAACATCAGAGTGGTCCGTAGAGCCCAAAACTCTTTCCAACCCTTAAATACGAAATATTGGCCACTCACAATTTCTATTAAAGGGGTCATATTCTGCTAATTTCAGGTGTATATCAGTCTGTAGTGTCTCTACTTTAAAGAGTCCTCTCCTGCTGATGTTCAGGTGTATATCAGTATGTAGTGTCTCTACTTTAAAGAGTCCTCTCCTGCTGATGTTCAGGTGTATATCAGTATGTAGTGTCTCTACTTTAAAGAGTCCTCTCCTGCTGATGTTCGGGTGTATATCAGTATGTAGTGTCTCTACTTTAAAGAGTCCTCTCCTGCTGATGTCCAGGTGTATATCAGTATGTAGTGTCTCTACTTTAAAGAGTCCTCTCCTGCTAATGTTCAGGTGTATATCAGTATGTAGTGTCTCTACTTTAAAGAGTCCTCTCCTGCTGATGTTCAGGTGTATATCAGTATGTAGTGTCTCTACTTTAAAGAGTCCTCTCCTGCTGATGTTCAGGTGTATATCAGTATGTAGTGTCTCTACTTTAAAGAGTCCTCTCCTGCTGATGTTCAGGTGTATATCAGTACGTAGTGTCTCTACTTTAAAGAGTCCTCTCCTACTGATTTTCAGGTGTATATCAGTATGTAGTGTCTCTACTTTAAAGAGTCCTCCCCTGCTGATGTTCAGGTGTATATCAGTATGTAGTGTCTCTACTTTAAAGAGTCCTCTCCTGCTGATGTTCAGGTGTATATCAGTATGTAGTGTCTCTACTTTAAAGAGTCCTCTCCTGATGATGTTCAGGTGTATATCAGTATGTAGTGTCTCTACTTTAAAGAGTCCTCTCCAGCTGATGTTCAGGTGTATATCAGTATGTAGTGTCTCTACTTTAAAGAGTCCTCTCCTGCTGATGTTCAGGTGTATATCAGTATGTAGTGTCTCTACTTTAAAGAGTCCTCTCCTGCTGATGTTCAGGTGTATATCAGTATGTAGTGTCTCTACTTTAAAGAGTCCTCTCCTGCTGATGTTCAGGTGTATATCAGTATGTAGTGTCTCTACTTTAAAGAGTCCTCTCCTGCTGATGTTCAGGTGTATATCAGTATGTAGTGTCTCTACTTTAAAGAGTCCTCTCCTGCTGATGTTCAGGTGTATATCAGTATGTAGTGTCTCTACTTTAAAGAGTCCTCTCCTGCTGATGTTCAGGTGTATATCAGTATGTAGTGTCTCTACTGGGACATGTCTCCATGCTTTAATGTTCAAAAAGCTCTTTATTTCTCTCATGCTGCCTGTGCTGCAGCACCTCTTTTCACCCTCCGTCTGAAACCAGAGCCCAGTCTGCTCTGATTGGTTAGCTGGCCGGCTCTGTTGTGATTGGTCAACCGCTTAGAGATGTCCCTCCCCTTAGCCTATCATGTACAATGTGTTGGAGAGCTAGCCAATAGGAGCGCGATTGTAACATACTGTCCCAATGTTCCAGAACTTTGGGATTTTAGCCTTTGCAGACCATTTACATGCACAAAGACCTATACTACAGGGAAAGGGAAAACCCCCAAAATAGCAGAATAGCGCGTCTTAAACTCGTTGACTTACCTCCTCTAGAGTAGGGATGATTTTCAGAAGAATGTCTCCGATCGTGTCGATGCTGGCGTTCACGCTCAGGATTCTGTCAGGAACAATGTCGGCCGAATCGAATCAAGGCATTATAGGATGTAAAGAAGAACAATTGACATGCACTCAATATAAGATCATTTTGGGAGCAGGAGGGGGGGGGGGGGGGGACGTGGCCACAAAAAGTCGGGAGGGAAAAAGAGAGAGAGAGAGGGGGGTCTTCTATAACAATCCCACCACAAGGAAGTTGGGGAATCAAACAAAAGCTTTTGAAATCACGATTTCACCACCAGCACGTCTTCTTATATTGATCAGGGGTTGGGATAAGGTTGGGGGGTCAGAAGAAGAGTAAAAGAGCAGAGGGGTGTAGTTTGGGGTCGGAGGAGGGTATGGAGCTCTGATCGGATGTTTCCTGGGAGAAATTTGACATAAGGGATGGAGCACAATGATATAAAGAAGAAGACATTAATGATGAGTGACAGAAAAGTGGGCGGAGCCTCTCGCAGAAATCATTGACAGTGATGTTGACAACATTGGGGGAGAAAGGGGGGAGGAAGTGGGGCAAAGTGGGCCACAGAGGACAGAGCGAGAGTTTCTACAAGTTTATGGTGAAATAAAAACATCACTGGAAGGGACATTTGTGACGCTAACCAACATGATGCTAACTCCCAGTAGGTAGTTTGTTGTAGGGCTGCACGATATAGGAAGGACACTTTTTTTCTGCGATAGAAAAACAATGCAGTACTGTCGCCCTAAAGATTGTAGGCTAGATTAAAACTCATCGATCTGTGAAAGCGGTACTAAAAGCTTATTTTTACTTGAATCATAAGAAAATGTTGTGATGGTTATATTGGGTAATACCACAGTAGAATCATCGTGAATGCAGGATCTTTCTCATAAAGTATTTGCAAATATTTTTGAATCTTGCATTGTATACATCCACGATTACAAGCTTGCAGACTTTTTTTCACTGTGTTCATTAGCTATGCTTGTTAGCGTGTAACTGCAAAACCAAAGAAAAGCTTCTAATGCTACTGTGTCTGTGTGCATTAGATAGTGAAATTAATATTCTACATAATGATATTTATTTCTGATCTATTAAGTCTGACAAGCAACATATTTCCAATAGGACATTTAAAAAAAATATTATCACACAGCGAAGTTGAATACCGGATTGTTATTGGTCAATTTTAGAGGTTAATACTCAATAACAGACCGATGCTAAGGATAACAGACCGTTACTAAGGATAACAGACCGTTACTAAGGATAACAGACCGTTACTAAGGATGCCAGACCGTTACTAAGGATAACAGACCGTTACTAAGGATAACAGACCGTTACTAAGGATAACAGACCGTTACTAAGGATGACAGACCGTTACTAAGGATAACAGACCAATGCTAAGGATAACAGACCATTACTAAGGATAACAGACCAATGCTAAGGATAACAGACCGTTGCTAAGGATAACAGAATGTTACTAAAGATAACAGACCGTTGCTAAGGATAACAGACTGTTACTAAGGACAACAGAACGTTACTAAGGATAAAAGAACGTTACTAAGGATAAAAGAACGTTACTAAGGATAACAGACCGTTGCTAAGGATAACAGAATTTTACTAAGGGTAATAGACCGTTGTTAAGGATAACAGACTGTTGCTAAGGATAACAGACCGTTGCTAAAGATAACAGAATGTTACTAAAGATAACAGACCGTTGCTAAGGATAACAGACTGTTACTAAGGATGACAGACCGTTACTAAGGATGACAGACCGTTACTAAGGATAACAGACCGTTGCTAAGGATAACAGACCGTTGCTAAGGATAACAGACTGTTGCTAAGGATAACAGAATTTTACTAAGGGTAATAGACCATTGTTAAGGATAACAGACTGTTGCTAAGGATAACAGACCGTTGCTAAGGATAACAGAATTTTACTAAGGATAATAGACCGTTGTTAAGGATAACAGACCATTGCTAAGGATAACAGACCATTACTAAGTACAACAGAACATTACTAAGGATAACAGACCGTTGCTAAGGATAACAGATCGTTGTTAAGGATAACAGACCATTGCTCAGGAGGATCAAGTGACTATTTACAGTCATATAAATCAGCAGGTCAATTTAACGTCAGCTGTGGATATTAATGGCCGCCTCACTGCACATTATCCCTTACTTATTACACGGTGGAGTGGAATACTCTATTCTGATTGGTCAATTTGGACTTCTCAGAGGTTGTTAATACTCAATAACACACCGCTACTAAGCATAATAATGACTGTTGCTGCGGAGGATCGAGGGAGAGAAGGAAAGAGGTTAAAAGACAGAGCGCTGGACGTCAGATCAATTCCTTACTTATTGATTAATCGTGAAATAGTTGCATAAATAAGTCATGGAAAACTTGTAGCATGATGTGTTTGAGTACATTTTCTGATGCGATATATTGTGCAGCCCTGGTTGGTCGTCAGTGATTCTCTGCATGGTCAATAAACAAAGTCAAACTCAATGAAGATGCTTAATGATGGACAGAGAAATCAAAAGGAAAAACAACACACGTCTCTTACAAAGTGAAGAAAGGGGGGAAGTTTAGGGGTAAGGAATGGGGGAAGTAAACCGTCATGTGTATAAAATATGAAACAGAAGTTATCAAAAGACATGTTTTTTTTCTCTGTTCTAATCAGGCAGTGAGGCAATAACTGGTGGGACATACCGCTCTGGGCCACTGCTGTCTGGGACTGAAACACTGGCATTGAACTGCAGGTGGAGGTGGAGGAGGAGGTGGAGGTTGTGGTGGTGGTTGTGGTGGAGGAGGTTGGCATTGGGCGGGGGTTTTCAATCACATTTAGGGGCACGGTTTATGGGCGGGGCCAACGTCAGTGGGTGGGGCATGTCGATCCAGTACATGGACAACGGAGAGGAAGGTTGGCCGAAAATAAAAGCAAAACAAAAAAAGTACAGGAGAAGGAGGGGGAAGAGGGGGAGAAGGAATACATTTTTAATTGAATACAAGCTTTACTTTGTGTCCCAATAGTGAAAAACTGTGGTGAGTGAAGAAGGAACAGGAAGTGTGACACGATTGGACACGATTTAAACAACAGTTTGGAGATTTAAAGACCTGAGACTCAGACTTTGAGGAGCCTTCGAGGGGAACTGGATCACAAGAGGACTGGGAACAAATGAGCTTGCTAGTTTTTTATCATTAGAGCGGAAATAATACTCACTTTTAGGTGTATATCAGTATGTAGTGTCTCTACTTTAAAGAGTCCTCTCCTGCTGATGTTCAGGTGTATCAGTATGTAGTGTCTCTACTTTAAAGAGTCCTCTCCTGCTGATGTTCAGGTGTATATCAGTATGTAGTGTCTCTACTTTAAAGAGTCCTCTCCTGCTGATATTCAGGTGTATATCAGTATGTAGTGTCTCTACTTTAAAGAGTCCTCTCCTGCTGATGTTCAGGTGTATATCAGTATGTAGTGTCTCTACTTTAAAGAGTCCTCTCCTGCTGATGTTCAGGTGTATATCAGTATGTAGTGTCTCTACTTTAAAGAGTCCTCTCCTGCTGATGTTCAGGTGTATATCAGTATGTAGTGTCTCTACTTTAAAGAGTCCTCTCCTGCTGATGTTCAGGTGTATATCAGTATGTAGTGTCTCTACTTTAAAGAGTCCTCTCCTGCTGATGTTCAGGTGTATATCAGTATGTAGTGTCTGTACTTTAAAGTGTCCTCTCCTGCTGATGTTCAGGTGTATATCAGTATGTAGTGTCTCTACTTTAAAGAGTCCTCTCCTGCTGATGTTCAGGTGTATATCAGTATGTAGTGACTCTACTTTAAAGAGTCCTCTCCTGCTGATGTCCAGGTGTATATCAGTATGTAGTGTCTGTACTTTAAAGTGTCCTCTCCTGCTGATGTTCAGGTGTATATCAGTATGTAGTGTCTCTACTTTAAAGAGTCCTCTCCTGCTGATGTTCAGGTGTATATCAGTATGTAGTGACTCTACTTTAAAGAGTCCTCTCCTGCTGATGTCCAGGTGTATATCAGTATGTAGTGTCTGTACTTTAAAGAGTCCTCTCCTGCTGATGTCCAGGTGTATATCAGTATGTAGTGTCTGTACTTTAAAGAGTCCTCTCCTGCTGATGTCCAGGTGTATATCAGTATGTAGTGTCTGTACTTTAAAGAGTCCTCTCCTGCTGATGTCCAGGTGTATATCAGTATGTAGTGTCTGTACTTTAAAGAGTCCTCTCCTGCTGATGTCCAGGTGTATATCAGTATGTAGTGTCTCTACTTTAAAGAGTCCTCTCCTGCTGATGTTCAGGTGTATATCAGTATGTAGTGTCTGTACTTTAAAGAGTCCTCTCCTGCTGATGTTCAGGTGTATATCAGTATGTAGTGTCTGTACTTTAAAGAGTCCTCTCCTGCTGATGTCCAGGTGTATATCAGTATGTAGTGTCTGTACTTTAAAGAGTCCTCTCCTGCTGATGTTCAGGTGTATATCAGTATGTTGTGCCTCTACTGTGACACGTCTTTATTTTACTCATACTGCCTGTGCTGCAGCACCTCTTTTCACCCTCTGTCTGAAACCAGAGCCCAGTCTGCTCTGATTGGTTAGCTGGCCGGCTCTGTTGTGATTGGTCAACCGCTTAGAGATGTCCCGTCCCTTAGCCTATCACGTACAATGTGTTGGAGCGATAGCCAATAGAAGCACAAGTGTTCCTTAGTGATGTCACTTGTTGGACTTCAGGCTTTGCAGACTATTTACATGTATGAAAACCTATAGGACTACAGGGAAGGGAGAACCCCAAAAAAGCCTCTTCAAATGGAATTTAGATCTGGATTATATTAATGTAGCCTTTTAAATTTGCTCCTCAGTTGCAAAAGATTGTTTTGAATATCATCCGTTTACTCACGTCAGTGCGCAGGGCTTTTATGTTCTTGCCACCCTTTCCGATAACAGCACCAGCATTCTGTAGGTGAAAAGAAAGTGTTTTCAGATTGTGACACACACACACACACACACACACACACACACACACACACACACACACACACACACACACACACACACACACACACACACACACACACACACACACACACACACACACACACACACACACACACACACACACACACACACACACACACACACACACACACACACACACACACACACACACACACACACACACACACTTCCTGGAGACTTATCCTAACCTTAACCTTAACCAACACATGCCTAACCCTAAAATTAATGATTCCCCTCAGGTGGACCTCCATTTTGTCCCCATAAGGGAGGCGAGTCCCCACACGTGACTGTGTAAACAGATTTAGGTCCCCACAAGTATAGTAATGCTAGGCCACACACACACGTATTTGGTGTGTTAGATCTTCAGCGTTAATGAAGAACACACAAGTATTTTTATTTATTGTGGGGGAAATAGGATTTTTCTAACAGATGCTACATTTGAGAATGAAATAAAATCAAACATTAAAACTATTTGAGTCAAGATAGTTGTACAAACATAAGTTAAATAGGATTTTGGAAGTAAATTAGTGCTAGATAGATAAGTAATAAATGATTCTTTGTAAGCCTACATACAAAGAATAGAATATTTCCTCTCTGATTCTTCTCTCATATATCAAATCAAGTTTTATTTATATAGCAACATTTTTTTTAAACGATTTTTGGTCGAGCCAAAGTGCTGATATATATGAACATAGAATTACTTTTCTATTAAATAAAATGTTTGTGTACGATGCCAACTACAGTTCTTAGAAAGAAAATCAGTCACAAATTGGGAAAAGGCAAAGAAAATGCAAATCAGTGCCTCTCTACTTTGATCAATGGAGGTAAACAGTCTAACACATATCCATATATATCTAAGTGTACATGTTGACGGTGTTTACTTTGCTCTGCAGAAGAACTCGCAGCTCCACCATCTCATCTGCGTTGCGAGAACGTTTGAAGACGTGCTCTTCCTCCATGTCGTCCGCTGGCCGTTTACCTGCGAGGGAACACAGCTCAGGTGAGTCTGTATCGAGGGGTTTCATCATTAACAAACAGACAACGACACTCTGTAGAGTTCGACCATTTCCAAATGTGGCACGGCAGGACGAAGAAATAGGGCTGCACGGTTTGGAGCCAATAGCGTATTCCGATTATTTTGACCGTTGTTGCAGACTCTGTGTATAAACTATTCTGCACTGTTTACTATTTTATTTTATTTACTTGCACTATTTTATCTGTTTTATTGTGTTGCACTGTTGGAGGAGTCGGTGACCTCAGATTTTCATTGTCATATCTACACTGTAGCTCTGCAGACATGACAATAAAAGCCTCGAAACTTGAATTGCAATATGATTTTGGATTTTAGAGCGAATCTGAAACATCTGTCACATTACCACTAATAAGTATGTTCTTACAGAGAATCTGTACAATACAAGGATTTGTTATTAAGTCTGCAGAATACTGATTTCTCTGCAGCTCCAACATATTTTCACACATTTTGTATT